TCTACTTCTAATAAGATTTTTTTAATAAAGAGGTTATTCAACATAAAGATGGTGGAAGACAATCCATGGGTATAATATATGAGTAAATTCACCAATGTAACGAGTCATTTCTGTTATGTGGGGATTAAATTTGATGATGAGGCCAGGGCACTATAAATTTTGTCTTCTTTATCAGACAGTTGGGATGGATTGGTCATGGTTGTGAGTACTTCTTAAAGGAATATGAAGACTAACTTCGATGGCATTGTGGGGCTAGTGTTGAATGAAGAAGTTTGCAGAAAGACATTGAATGATGAATTTTTAGGTTCTACATTGAATTTTGAAAATAAGGGAAATAATTAAGACACAAATATAGGTAGAGATATATTTAATTTAAGGAGAGGAAAATTTAGGTCTAGCAGAAGAAATGGTAGAGGAGAATGCTGGAACTACATAAAGAGAAGGCATTTCAAGAACCGCAAGACTCCAAAGAAGGCCAGTGGTGGAGGACAAGAAATAAATCTCTCTACAAATCTCCACAGGTAAAATCCAACGCTACTCTCTAGTTTTATCTCTAGTCGACACTGACGCTTGGATAGTAAATTCGGGTATCCAAGATTAAGGTGCATGTTTTCAAGCATGCCCCAACAAAGAGAGATTCAAAAATTACTCTCATATTCATTTTGGAAAATTTTATTTGTGAGACAACAAGACTTACAATATCATGGAAAAAGATAATATAAATATTAAGTTGCCAAGTAGAATGGTTTGGAAGCTTACTGAAGTTAGGTGTTTTCCTCATTCAAGAGAAATTTGATCTCGATGAGCCAGCTGACAAATTCATATTTTTTAAATACTTTCATAGGTGATTCATGTAATATGACCAGAGGATCAAAGATAATAGCTCAGGGTAACATTGGTGGCACACTTTACTTGATCAATGAGATGGCATATTTCATTGTTGTGGTTGAAATCAATGTTGATGCATGTCTCTAGCATCATAGGCTTAGTCATATAAGTGAGAAAGATATGAATTATTTAATTTCTAAAAATAAATTTTAGGCAAATTAAAGTTTTTTTATCTAAAGATGGGTCAATGATGAATTCAAATAGGCTTAGTCATATAAGTGAGAAAGATATGAAGTATTTAATTTCTAAAAATAAATTTTAGGCAAAATAAAGTTTTTTTTATCTAAAGATGGGTCAATGATGAATTCAAATAAACTAAAACTAGTGCATACAGATGTATATAATCCTACTCTAGTTCTGTCCATTAAGGGATCCCAGTACTTTGTCAATTATCATGTTTATAGATGTTCATACCAAAAAGGTATGAACTTACTTCTCAAAGCAAAAATCTAAAGTATTTAAAGTCATTAAGAAGTGAAAGATCGTGTTAGAAAATGAGACATACTTGAAGCTAAAGTATCTTAGATCAAATATTAAGCAAGTATCGTGATCAAAAGTTCAAGAATTTATTTGCTACAAAGGATATCATGCATGAGTTCACTATTTGAAGGATGTAGCAGCAAAATGGTGTGACTGAGTGCATGAATAGAACAATTATAGAGCGTGTTAGAAGCATGAGATTGTATAAATTCTTGTTAAAACAATTATGGGTTGATACAGTGAATAGTAATATTTATCTAATTAATTGTAGTCTATCAAAACCTTTAAAGGAAGGCTTCCTGAAGAAGTCTAGTGTGATAAGGAGGTGAATAAGTTTCATCTATAAAAATTTGGGTGTTCTATATTATTTTATGTTGAAGTAGGGTTCAGGAGTAACATTAACTCGAAATATTTTAAGTGCACATTCATTGGGTATGACTTAGATGAGTTTCAGTACAAGTTCTGGTACTATCAAAATAAGTAATTTATCAGCAGCAGGGATGTCACTTTGAAATGGAGATGTACATGGATATGAGCATAACTCAGAATTAACATTAGTTATTTTTAAAGAGTCCAAGCATGTTGAGATGGACGATATTGGTGATCAGAAGGAAAGAGAAACAAAGAAGTGATCAATTAGATGAAGTATAAGAAATTCCTCAGTCACTTGTTTTGAAGTCAAGAGGTTCAGTAGAATTATGTGACCCCTACACAGATATTCTCTTTTTGTGTTGTTGTTTGCTTCTAATTAATAATGGTGAACCAGGGTATTTTGAGAAGGCCACTCAAATTAAAGAGTTTAGGGAGTGAGAGTTTTCCATTGATGATATAATGCAGTTTATTGAGTCAAATTGGAACTATGATCTGATGATATTACTAGATGGCTACACAACAAATGGGTCGACAAGCTGAAAGAAGAGTTAGATGATATCATACTCCATAAGGTAAGGCTTGTTGTGAAAGGGTTTTAATAAAAGGAAAGAGAGGAATACACCGATTTAAAGATGACAACAATCATATTTGTGCTAATTTTAGTAGCATAGGGAGATCAACATCTAGAGTTGATGGATGTCAAAACAACCTTTTTATATGATAATCAAAATGAGGAATTGTATATGGTGTAATTGCAGGGTTACAAGATTCCAGGAAAAGAAAATTTGGTCTACAGTTTGAAGAAAAGTCTCTATGGCTTAAAGCAGGATGTAAGATAGTGGAACAGAAGGTTTGACAGGTTCATGTCAGCTAGTGGGTACATGAAGTGTCAAGCTGACCACTATTGTTTTATCTAATACTTTGGTAATAGTTATATCGTACTGCTTTTATATGTGAATGACATGCTAATTGAAAAGGTAGATAAGGAGAAATTAAAGAATTTAAGGAGTAATTATCAAGTGAGTTTGAGAAGAAGGATTCAGCTTCAACCAAAAAGATCCTCGGCACAATAATTGACAAGGGCAGGAGTGCAAGTATACTGAAGTTATCTTAGATAAGGTATGTTGAGATGATTCTACAGAGATTTAACATGAGTGATGCAAAGCCAGTTTGCACCCACTTAAGTAGTTATTTTAAGCCATCTAAAAAGATGTCATTAAAATATGAAGTAAAGCAGGCACAAATGGGGAGAACTATGTATGCTTCAACAGTTGGGATTCTAGTGTATGTTATAATTTATATGATACCAAATATTACATTTGTAGTAGAAATGATTAGCAGATACATAATCAACCCATACAGGCATCATTGGGAGGTAGTGAAGTGGATTATCAGGTATTTGAGAGGAACATACAACATGACACTTTACTATGGATAGTGAAAAAAGTACTACAAAGTATATCTTCACTTTAGGGAAGACAACAATGAGTTAGGCTTCCAATTTTTAGAATATTGTTATACTCTCAACTATAGAGGTTAAATACTCTGTCATTACTAAGGCTAGCAAGAAAATGGTATGTCCATATGGCTTTATGGAAAAGTTGCGCAAGGAACAGGGGATTATAAAGCTTCATATCATCTTGCTAAGAATATTATTTTTCATGTCAGGATAAAGCGCATTAAGTTAAGGTATCACTTTATACTTTTTCTCTTAGAAGATGGACAGTTGTTTTTTGAAAAGATACACACAACTCAGAATTTTGCAAATATATTGATAAAGGTGGTAACTATAGAGAAATTGAAGTTATGCTTGGCTTCAGTTAGAGTCCAAGAAGGTTGTGAATGTGATGAGCCGCCTACGATACATAACTATGAAGATGGTACAGATGAAGGTGAATATATGGCGGACATGAGTCAAGTGCTACTAGTCTCCAAGTGAGAGATTGTTGGATTGATGAAGCCTGAAAACACCCACAGCCATAAGAAGCACAAAGTAGGGACCATGTGCACCTATGGTTTGGTGTAGCCATGCCTGAAATAGGAGTAGTTACACCATATGGCATGCCTACATCAAACAATGGAGTAACCACGCCTCCAGTTGGGATGCTTCATTTTGAATGCATGAAACAACCACGTCATCTGACGACGTGACCACGCCGATGATTACCTCTCAATGAATCGGTTCTTAATCTATCGCTTCGAGTGACAAAGGTAAGTTTTGACATGTGTTGTATTCTGTTGAGGGGTTTGGTATAGAGCGGTAAAGTTCGAGAGGTGGATTTCGAAGAGCTTTCTCTTGTGAGATTAAGATGAAGGTTTGGAGCAAAGCTTTGTAAGCTCTATTAATTGCCGAGAGAATATCTAAGTGAGTATTTGTATAAATTTTTGGCTCTTCATAATGAAAATTTTTGGTTGTGTGACTTCATGATTTTTTCTCTATTTTGAGTTTTTCCACTTTAAATCTTGGTATGTTTTTTCGAGAATTATTTTGTTGCACCTATGTTTTATTTTTTGTTTGGGACATTTCAAATCGGTGTGATCCAATTCTGCAGTGTGGTTTTGATTTCAAATTGATCAAAGCCCAATGCATTTTAATTTTCCATCCCAACATTACCATCCCTAACCCAATTGGACGTTACTGTGTCGAATCCTTTTTTAACTCCCAAGCACTAACTTGACGTGGGCAACGGGGGTGACGAAACAACGAATGCACGGGCAGTTTGCTTGGGAGCAATCAACAACATGCTATTATAAGGAGTGAGGACAACAACAAGGCTGTTTTAGCAGTAGAAAAAATGGTAGAAAAAATGATGGTGAAGTGCAGTTGGAAGAGCAAGCAGCGGCATGCTCTTGTTGGAAGAGCAAGCAGAGGCTTGTTATTGTCGAGTGGGGGAGAACAAAATAGTATGTGTGATTGTCCACACGTACGGATAATTGCTCGCCGGGAGCTCACATCACCTCGCATATGAAGTTGGGGAGACAAGGCTTGGCTTAAGGCGGTGTATAGAGTACAAGCAGTTTGTACTTAAGAATTTACCTTGGGAGAGTGACCTTACTTTGTTGGCTCAACAAGGAGAGTTGGAGAACCAATATAATAGCGTTAAATAAATAAATAAATAAATAAAATTTAAATGTGGAATATATATATATATATATATAAACAAGAATATTAGAAGTTACATATGTAAATAAAAAAATAAAAAATTATATGCATTTTGTTTCTTCACATCAACGAAGCACAGAAAAGTAATCTACCCTGCCAAATAGCTACAAACACCCGAAATCCTCAAACCGAACTTACAAACTCAACACTCAAGCGTTGGCCATGGCCACGGAAAAGAAGCAACAGAATTAATTGCTGTGAAGAGTTTTAGAAACATTGGAGCTTCCCTCCTCTCTTACTACTCCACATCTCCCCAGTCCTTGCTCAATATCACCTTCAACAGGGCTGCTGCAACATGAACCACTACTCCTCTTTCCCCTGCTCAAAATCCTTTTTAAAGATCTAAACTTTGACGTTGCGGGTGATCTCATCTCCTCCACCGGCGACGTCAAGTTCTCCCCAGAACACCTGCTCGTTCCCGCTATCGAAATCGGATTGGGTAACTCTTCAGCAAATCTATTCGGTATGCTTATCACTAAACTCCTCTCCGACTGAAGCGACAACCCCCTAGTGTTAAACCTACCATTATTTCTCCAAAACAGCATATTGGTTGGCAAAGCAGGGGATTCCGACGAGGGTTGTCCGGACGCCATCACCGGAAACACTTCACCTTCTCCGGAAGCCACCGGGCCAACTGGGCTACGACAAACGGGACACGTAAAGTGAGAATGCAGCCACATATCAATGCAATCAAGGTGGAACCCATGGTTGCATTTTGGAAGCAACCGAAACTTCTCTCCCTCGGAGAGCTCGCAGAGACAAACAGAGCATTCAATCCCGTCCTTGAAATTGCATCGCCGAAATTCAGCGGATGGAAGAGAGCGAAGAACGCCTCTGCTAAGGCCTCGTCTGGGAATTGGGGCGTCAACAGCGGTGGTGATGATGAGTTGGGTCCGGCTTTGGTCGGCGAATCTTCGGATCCAATGTTCTTTCACGTAGAAATAAAGGAAGATAGCGAAGAACACAAATAGAAAGAGAAATATGACTGCAGCTGTCAGGACCTTTCCGCTGATCTTTACAGTCATCACTGAGCCATGGGATCCCATATCCATACCGGGAGACAAATCTGTGTTTCCCATCACGGCCACTGCCTTCGAGTCTGAGATCCGAGTTTTGAAAAATGCAAACAAAATTGGATTTTGAAATCTGGTTTTTGAAGATTGGATGAACAAGAGACTTGAGGGGATGAATCAACACGTGGTTGGTTGCTATATATAGCATGGAGAGAGCGGATACAAGCAAAGACCTAAAAACTCGAAGTAAATGGGCGAGCGCAGCGCAACTGAGGGGCGGGAGAGAGGAAGATGAGACGGGGCGAGGGGACTTCCAGTCAAACGTTGTCAGAAGAAATCTAAAAATTAATGAAAATTTCCAGCTACGTCTGTCGTCTTAGGCCCGTTCGTAAAAGGAGACAAAGAGATACTAATATTATATAAAAAGAGAATATATATATATTCCATTTTATAAAAGTAATTTTATGTAATATTAAAATTTTGAATATCTCATAAATAAACAGTAAAATTTAATATCTAACTTTTCACACAATATTAAAAAAAAAGATTTATATGCATAAAATATAATTCTTATATATTTATATATTTAATATTTAAAATTAAATATTTACTTATATAATATTTTATGAATCTGTATGAAAAAATAGACGTCATCTTAAAAAAAACAATATTATTAGATTTATGCATAATATGTTTCTAAGTATTGGAATGTTATATAAGTAATTATTAGAATTTATTTATCAGATATGTAAATAATAAAAAATTTTATGGTAAATCCCCCTAAAAGAAAGATGCATAATATTTCTTTCTTGACTAAAAAAAATGCACATCTGTGGTATTCTAAAATAAAATAAATTAAAAAAAAGGTGCATTAGGTAATCTATATCCTTTTAATGGTCAACTTACATCATAATAGTATTAGTTTGAGTGCAAGGCTGATTCGTTCAAGTTTTGATGGATTCTTTATACACGGCTTGAATAAGGTGTAAAAATTTGACTATTTGAATTGGAATAGAAAACTAAATTACACAATTATGGAGGTTGTAAATGAAGTATTCATTTTGATAGAAATGTGCTTGTTTAATGATGAAAAATAGATATAATGAATCTTTTTAGGTTGTAGGGTCCTATAGTTCGTGCATACATATAATCCACGAGAAACATTGAGTTAAGCGAAGGAGGTGGAAAGGGATAGAGTTCCAACTCCATCGAGAGAGAGAAAAGACTCGTCTATTTATATGGCTTATACGGTGCCTTCACCTTTGTAGGGCTACAAAAAGAAAAAAAATAAGGAAATGTTATATTATAGGTCACACTGATGAGTTAGAGTTTCGTTACATTTGTTGTTCATGTAATCTTGAAGGATTGATTGGTAAATGATCGGTGGTGAAGCTTGATAAATGCAAGCGAGCTCTGCAGACAAGCTTGATGTATATAAGCGACCTCGACCGAGAAGCGTGATGAGTACAAGCGAGCTCGACGAAAGAGCTCAATAATTTACGAGCGAGCTCGGCGGAGGAACTCGCCAGGTCCTCCTTAAAAGTAATCCTTGTAGCTATCACTTTGATGGATGTGGTTGGCAAGTACGATATGTCAGTTATAGGCTATACGTGCATGATAATATTTACATTCTAAGAAATGCACGATGTAATATGCCCAGAAGGCACATTTACATTTGGGTTTTCTTGGCAGCTTAGAAAAAGAGCTTAGGATGTATAAAATAGTTCAAGTTACTTGATGCCGGGAATTTGAATGAAATAACTTCGACAAATCTAAATATATAAAGATTATTTATCTCTCTTATGTCATCAAACCATTAAATAATTAGAATTTAAGAAAATCTAATGGTAAATAAAATATAAAAATTTATAAAAAAAATGTATATTATTTATTATGGCATAAAGCAAATTAGAACTTTTCATTTTAATTTGAAACAATTGCTTTTTTATTCAGAAGTTTTTTTTTTTTCCATGGTTATTTTTGCTAGATTTTTTCTTTTTAAGAAAGTATGGTATTTGAGAATACCTCTTCCCATATGTACTATCAGTCTTCGTAGGAATTGGACACAGGTCAAAGGGGTCTTATGACTGACAACGCATCTGCTTACCAACTTGTTAGCAAAAAACACACGGCTTGTTTTTTGCTATGTATGTGTGCACACATGCACAACTAATGTTGTTACAATTTTTTAAATTTATTTCGCTTTTTTTTTTGTCTGCAAATTTTTTCGAAGTTCTTTATTATATAATACACTTTAAAAAATATTAATATGCAATAATTTTGAGTGTAAATGTGCTCAAATTTTATAAACTTATTTCTTTTAGGCCTTTACATACATACCACCAATTTCTACGTATTTACATATGTAACACCAAAACTTTACTGTTTACAATTATAATTTCATACCACCGAATTTCATTTGCATATGTAACCCCTATATATATATATATATAAACTACCTGGAATGGGAAAAAATAACGGGTCTTAGCCTAAATTACCTGGAATGGGAAAAAATAACGGGTCTTAGCCTAGTTAAAATAACCTATTATGTAATCAAGAGTACAGTACTCAATTTTTCACATAGATTAGGGAAAATTAGATTTATGTTAAAGTAATAAATGCTTTGAAATAACCCTACAAATATAACTATATAAGGTAGTTGAGATTTTAATTGTTCTAGTGAAACTACAATTTTTTTGGTGGGGATATAATGGTCATAGTTGCCCATAAGAGGTATAGTTGACTATAGAATTAGTAATTGGTGGCTATAATAGTTGTAATAGAGCTTTCAAAATTATAGTTGAAGGTTATAATAGTTGTATTTGGCTACAAAAGTCATAATTACATGAGGCTGTAATAGTTTTAATTGGGTGATAAAATTCATAGTTAGTGATGTTCAACAACGGTTGTTAGTTGACGATTTGGTGGTTGATGGGCTCTAGTGGTCGGCTACGATCTCAGGTGATCAGGGACAACCAATAAGACTTTATGAGTTAAGCTTTAGATATCAACTCACTCTTCTCTTTTTTCTCTTCCCCTTTCAAGTGAAGAATGGGGGCCTATTCATAGGTTTTTATGGTCATTTTGATAAATTTGACCAATCTGTTTAAACACTCGATGGGATAATTCACATTAATTCCCTTGATTGCATGTAGTTTTTTCAATATAAAAGTGTTTTAATAACATCAGAATTGAATGATCTTGGACCCATTGGATTTCTCTCGCCGAAATGCTCAATTTGAATACCAGCTTGTCAAATTTTGAGATTATTTGGTCTTCCAATTGATGCGTCAAAACTTTCAATATAACATTTCAAGTGTTTGATCTGGGCTTATCTTGATTTTAATTAGATTACTATCAATGTCATTTGTTTCTTCTTATCGAGATGCTCATTTTGACTATAAACTTGTTAAAATTCGGGCTTGGCTGATTATGAATTTTGATTCTCAATGTTTCTTACTTAAAATGGTTTGAGATTTTTGTTTGATGATAAAAAATTGTTGATGACACGTCAGATATATAAAAACTAAAAATTGGGTGGTATATGGTAGTCATTTGGTAGGTGTCTCTGTAATCTATATGAAATTTGAGCCATAATTATGAAAGAACAAAAAAAATTCTACAGACACTACTCAGTCACCTCAACGAAAGAAGTTTAAACCATTAAGAAATACTAATTTGCCCCTTAAACCACAGAAATGTAAAACTGATTAGGAGTATACAACGCTTAACACTTCATATGTCAATATCTTGATAGCAATTAAGGATGATGAAACTCTTGAGTGTCTACATGTGTTGAAGCTGAATGTAGGGAATCAAAAGCAGTATTATCACTTCTATCAAAGTCATGGTCACAATACTAAAGTATATTTTCAATTCAAGGATGAGATCAAACACAAATCTAGCAAGGGCACTAGGGCTAATTCATTCAAATTAAGATCATGCAAACTAATAATGCCCTTGTTAGGGTGCAAGAATACTAGAAGTAACAATGTGAGAGGCGTCAGACCATTGGCAAAATTGCAAATATCATTGAAGGACCGCTGTTTGTCAAGCTAGTTCTAATTGATGTCTGTGATGAGCCTTGATCAAAAAAATTTCATGTTAGCCACTCCATCAAATTTGATTAACCTGATCTTTAAGGGATCCAAGTCCCTCACCAAGATCCTCTTGTTATAAGTAATGGGATTGGTCGCCCTTGTTATAAGATTAAGAGAGTCCTAGTCAATGGAGGGAGTTCAACCGATGTCTTGTTCTACTCAACTTTCTTAGGTGTTGTGTTAACCAGGGAAAAGTTGTAGCCTTTAGTTAGATATTTCTGTAGCATTAATAATCAACTCATAAATGTCGAAGGGACAATAACTCTCGTTGTTACACTGGGAGTGTTCCCCTGTGATACGACTCATATGATCTTATTTCTTGTACTCTAAGTTGGAATCGACATATAATATCATCTTCGAAAGAAATTTTCAATCAATCTTTATGGTTTTCAATTCAATATCACATCTTAAAATTAAGTACCCAACACCATCCACAGTTTGAATTTTATCGGAGGCTTAGAAAGTAGCACGATTGTGCTGCTTTAGAAAAGCTTAACTGTGTCTATCAAAAACTCCATATTAAGAGCTTTGATCTCTAAGATGGGAATATATTCTAGTGAGCTTCACTAGTTGAAGATTCGATATGTATTTTCTTATCAATGAAACAACCATTAAAGATAGTTTAGCTTGAATATTTGCTTTCTAGTGGGCAAAAATTGGAGCACATGATGTACTTTGTAAAATTCAAGAAGTGTTTGCCTTAAGTTTGATAGATATGTTCGGGGTTGATTTTGAAGTAATTGTACACTCTTTAAAGATCAACCCCACATATAAGTCGATAATCCAAAAGAAGGAAAATGTTATATCATAATGTCAACAAGTGATTGAACAAGAGGTTGAAAAGCTTCTCCAAGCAAATTTTATACGGGAGACATATCATCTCATGTGGCTCACAAATGTTGGTATGATGATTTTTATCTACCTAGAATAGATCAGTTGATAGAAGTTATCTCTAGACAAATGCTTAGTTTTATGGATATTTATTATGGTTACAACTAGATAAATACGAATCCCATGATGAGGCATTGTTACAGAGTTATGTCATTCAAACTGAAGAATGCTTACGTGACTTATCAAAATTTAATGATCAAGGTATTCAAAGATCTCATCAAACAATTTATAGATGTATATATTGATGGCATGATATGCAAAAGCTTGGAAACCTCTCAACATATTTCTGACTTAGAAAAAAAATTTTATCTTCTTTGGGAATATAACATATGTTTCAACCCTGCCAAGTATGCCTTTGTAGTCACATCAGGCAAGCTCCTCAGATTCATCATCAGTCACCATAAAATCAAGGCTACCCCTAAAAAGATCAGGGCCCTCAATGAGATGATGCCTCCCATAAGAATAAAAAAGACGTAAAAAATTAAATATAAGGATAACCACTCTATCGCACTTTTTGACAAGATCAAGAGAAAATATCTCCTTTTCTTCAAGATATTGATAGGCATTCGAAATATAGGATTTTAGTGGACAGAATAATCTCAAGTTACCTTTGATAAGCTCAAAGCCTACATGGCTTTACATCCTCTTATATTAAAATAATAAAAGGCAAGACATCATATCTATATGTTGTGATGTCTTAACACGCAATAAGTTCGATCTTGATCAGGAAGGAGCAGAAGGTTCAACTCCTGGGTTGCTACATTAGCAAAATCCTTTTTGAAACGGAACATCACTATGCACCAACTGATAAAAAATGTCCTGACACAAATATTATTGCACAAAAATTATGTCCATATGTTTAAGCTTATACTATTAGTGTCTACATGAGCCTCTCTTTAAGGGCTATCTTACATAAACTGGAGGCATCAGGGAGTTTAATGAAGTGATCCATGAAATTATAAGAGCTTGATATGCAATTTTATTAAGGCCTAATATCAAATCACATGTGCTTGCTGAATTTTTAGTAGAATATACAATTCATGCCCTTATTGCCAGTCTTATTCTTCTTTGATTTTCTTTTTTGACACCGAATTTTGGAACCGGTATTGGTGTTTTGTTGATTTCTCCCAGACAAAATATTTTGTAATATGGGTTTCAATTGAAATTTCTTACAACAAATAACTTCGTTGAATACAATTCCTCATCTCTTGATTAAGGCTCACTTTCGATTGTGAGATTCATCATATGATCATAGATATTGTTTACCAGATAATAACCTCTTTGGTAGATGGAAATTTTAATGTTCATAATCTTCAACTGGAACAACATCTTGTCCTGGTAAAGTCACTCTTTGCTCATTTTCAAAAATTTAGATAATTCATATACTTTAGGAGTAAATTTCTCAGGTTGGTGCCCTCTCCAACTTAGCCAACTCAATAACTGGTGATTCATACAAAATGAGATGTATTGAGAATGTATCTTTTTTGTAATATTTGAAGCCCTTGAGAGATATTATCTATTAAGGTAATGAATGAACCTTCATGGATGGATCCTATCATTCACTTCCTTCAAAACAAAACACTTCCCAAAGACAAGAATGAAGCCCTTCAAGTACGGAGACAAGCAATAAATTTCATCATCATTAATGATGAACTTCACGAGAGCATACCTCAAGTGTCTGTCTATAATTGATGCTGACAACTTGTTGTTAGAAGAGAGCTCTGAAATATGCAATGAACAAGTGAAAGGAGATTCCTCGCTCTCAAGAGAATGAGGTAAGGATATTATTGGCCTGCTATGAATCGAGATATATTGAATTTCACCAAGTGTGAAGTTACTAGTTTTATTCCAGCCTCACTCACATGCCATTTATGAACTCACTTCTCTATAAAGCCATTGGTCATTTATGCAGTGGGGGATTACATTATGGGATTTTTTCTTATAGTCACTAGGCAATGAAAGTTTGTGATTTTAGTTGTTGATTGCTTCACCTAGTGAGTAGAGGTTAAGCTTGTAGCTAAGATCACAGAGGAAAATATGAAATAATTTGTGTAGAAGAACATCATTTGTCGTTTCGGTAATCCTGCTAAAGCCATTACTAACAATATGACTCTATTCACTATGAAGGTTTTTAAATCTTTCTGCAGGACCCCCATATCCAATTATTACACATAGTTGTAACCTATCCTCAGAAAAATGGGCAAACTAAACTCACCAACTATACCATTCTCAAGGGACTAAAAGCTCATCTTGAAAAAGTTGAGTGCAATGTGTTGAAGAGCTTCCCGGTTTTCCTTAGGCTTATTGCTCCATATCACATTCTCTAACTTAGAAAACATAGTTCAACCAGTGTGTTGGCATAATAGCAGTTGTCCCATGTTAAATTGAAATCTCCGGTCTCCAGGTTTATGATTTTAATTTTGATGTAGATGACAAGAAATTTCGACATAATTTGGATCTTCTTCCAAGAATCGGCGAAGTAGCCATTCTTAAAACCACTTCACACAACCAGAGGGTGCTCATTGTTTCAATATAAGAGAAAGACCTCGATATATTTCCATTGGGTACTTGGTCCTTTGAATCTCAAGATCCTCGTGAAAGGTCATTAGAGCAATAATTTTTTGTCCCTCTTGGAGGGGTCATACATGGTCATTGCCATGATCAAGTACAGAACTTTCATGTTGAAAGATCTAGATGGGAAGATACTTCCACAAACATGGAATAGGAAGTATTTTCACAGAGACTACATGTAATTAGCACAACCGTTCTACTTTGAATTTCATTGTTGTCATTATTTGTGTTTAGTCATCACTATGTACTATGCATTGATTTTTCTTCAATTTTTGATGTACTCGATATAGTTTTAAATAAAGAGGTTGTGTTTTATGCGTTATACGTATGACTTTGTTCGAATATAATTATGATTGCATTATCCAAAAAATTTTAGTGTCACTGTACATAAAGTGAAAAACACCTCCATTGGGGGCAATAAATCGAAACAACAACTAAAAGTTACTCACAACGTTCTTGAATGTGGTCACAGTCATATTTCCAAGAAAAAAAGTATGATCCATCTCGATATATGCCTCAAACTCGAAAAATTCATAATATTTTTTAGCACCTTATTAGGGGTTTAATCAATCCCAGGGAGACTCAATTCGACCTCCGTCATAATAACTTACAATCATCAAGTGGAAGCTTCAACTAACAACCTAAGTATGTCGAAAATTCCTTATAAATTTCAATATACTCTTCCATCACAAGTTATTGTTGCTGAGCACATGTTCCGACTAACAACTTGGGATAAGTTGTGCATCCCTAATTTATGATTTTTTATTCATCTCTGAAAACTCAACCCAAGACAGGTTGATATTGTTTAACTTCAAAAATTTTGGCAACTCTTAACATGATTTACAATTTGTAGTTATATTGCAAAATAAAGAATAAAAAGATATATCGAGGATGTAACATGAAACAAATTTACTATTATAAAATGTAGAAATTTACAAGCCCCAGAGATATACAAATAAAATGCACAATCAAAAAGTGCAAAAGGCTAAAGTTCAAATTATACAAACAGATACATCATCACAATATATACAAATTATATTAAGCAAATGAAAATCTATAAGAAGAAATAAACAGACAAACACAAACTACTAGTCAACTACAACATACTCCTCGTGGTCAGGGATACACCCTTGAAAGTCACTCCCCACTTCTTCAGCTTCTGAGTACAAGGGGGATCTTTAGAGAACTAGCGGGGATTAAGTCCCTCTGTGTCAAGTCTGATCTAATAGTGCACTGCTCGAGTTATGTTCTTAAGGCTCCAGATGAATTACTCCTTGATACACTCTTTTTGTAGCTTCTTCACCTCAATATCATATATATAGTTGTGAGTCTTCTAAGCATAATCCTGAATGACACTCATTAACTCAATTGAGTTCTTAAGGTCCTTAGCAGCCTTTGCACTAGATCTAAGGAAATAGACTTCCTTCTCAACCTTCAATCTTTTTTTTTCTTCTCCTCAAGTGCACGTGTGCTCGCTCTCAAACATTCAAGCTCTTAGTACTCTTGGTAAGGTTAGCATGTACCTCCCCCAGCTCGTCTCGAGTACCATCCATATCCCAATGTTATAACTATAGGAAAGTCATCATGGTTGACATCTCAATTATGCAAGAAAATCGACAAACTAACATCATTGAAATCATATGTAGAACAAATTCATAAAGAATTTTTAAAGAAACAGATGTACAATGCTCATATAATTTTCATTAAATAGCTTTTATTGTTTGATCAGGATTAGTATACATGCTGCTAACTTATACAACTTACAAACTTGACCTTTACAACAAAACATTTGCAATACGAGAAGAAAAAATGAATAGGTGCTCCCCCCCCAATTTTTCATGTACGCATGCATGTGAAAGAGCAAGTTAGGGCCCATTTGGGGCAGCTTATAAGTGCGACGACGTTTTTGAAACATCGCTTAACTGTCTGGTTTGCATTTTTTGAAAATGTTGTCAGCCGAGTTCGGGTTTTTGACACTAAACGCAGGTTGCGGGTCGACCCGTGCAGTCGACCCGCTGGCCGAGTTTCATGATAAGCTGCTTATCTTGAAACGCAGAAGCTGCTTCAAACAAACCCTTAATCAACCATCAAATATGAGCGAATACATATGCAGAACAAGACACACAAAAAATTTTCACGGAAGAAGCAAAGAGAAACACAGTGGTAGACAACAAATAAATAGCATTAAAAAATTCATAAAAGAGAAAACTTCACCGGATAACACCTAACGACACAAGTGATAAAGGAGGAGCGTAACGAGGGGTATATGCGAGAATAGGAGAGTGGGATTACCAAAAATCCGAAGGGACAATGACATCTTTAGCACCTAACAATAGAGCCCCCCCCTCGCCGCTTCACCGCCAGCCCCCCCCAAAATGATCAAATAAAAAAAAATCCCAAATCGGACTTCTATAATTCTGCAACTTAAATGTCACAAAAATGAGTCCCAAAGAGGACCTAAATTCTTCTTTTATTTAAAATCTAAAAGAAAATTTAACCAGACACAGCCCGTTTACCAATTAACCCTAGCGGTCAAGGAAACCAGCGTCCAACGGTCCACGATAGGCCAGAGGAGTCACGGACAGTAAGGTTGATCCCGCTACTTCACTTCATTCCACCACACCCGCTCGTCTCCGTCTTTCTCGGTCCCTCCCCTGACAGGTCACGGCCAACGTCTTTATATTATTCTTTAAGATAAAAACCTGAAAAAGGATCGTCGCGGCTTAAATTATTCAGTATATTCACGTTACCCAGTGCAGCTTGTGCTATGTGCCACAGTGTCGGCGTGTAAAAATGCGAGTAAAAGAAGCATTTTTTGTTCTTGTTTTCTACTTTATAGGAAATGAAAGGAGCATCAAGTTTCAAGCGAGGCAGCTTTGTGGTAGGGATAAATAGGAGAAGAGGAAGAATCGAGGAGAGCGAGATGATGCAGTTTTGGGTTCTGCTGGTCTGCATTTGGTCTTGGACTTTGGCCTGGGCTAATGGCTTCACCGACCCGGCGGATGGTGAGATATCAAGAGCTTTGCTAGCTACTTCGATCATGTTCTTTCTTTTTCTTTTCTGATTTATTGGTCTTGTTGGAGAAGTTTGCAATCTGGTAGCAGGAACGTGGTATTGATTATTTTTTATTGGTTTTATGATTCACTTATCTGTTTGGTTTTGTTCTTCAAGTTACTAATAACTGGTTTGCTCCTTGCTTCCGGGAACTGTTGTGGATTTTGGTTTGGAAATGTTAACTGTCGTGGTCTTGAATGCATGTTTGACTTTACAGCATTAGGGTTGATTTTTGTTGAAAGAAGGATAATTTTTTTTTTCTATTTTGGGTAGGACTTTTCCCAAAAAGAAAGACCGGAAAACAAGCTTGTAACAATTTTATTCAAATGACTGGAGAGATTCCTCAAAATCTGTTTTTTTTTTTTTTCTATTTGCTTAGCTTACAAGTAAAATGGAAGAGCATTTTGAGTAGATGGAAAATGCTATATTTTTAGCTAAATTGGCAAAAATTATAATTTTGTCCTCTAGTAGAACGGAAAAAAAAAATAAAGACATTGTTGCAATGTTATGCACCGGTAACATTAGATATTGACTAGTTTGAAGTTTAGATTTTGTTCTTCCCTAAAGCAAGCCATACTATAATTGCATGGTCTTTCCACTGGCAGTATCGGCTCTAAATGTCTTGTATGGTACTATGAATTTGGCTCCTCAACTTACGGGCTGGACAGCAAATGGTGGGGATCCCTGTGGCCAGTTCTGGAAAGGGATTACATGCTCTGGTGCAGCAGTTACAGAAATGTGAGGACTATAAGATCAACATGAGAAAAAAAAAATTTTATGCAATTTTGATATTTCTTATACGGGTTATCCTCTTCATCATGTTAGAAAACTACCAGGCATGCAACTTTCTGGAGCATTGGGTTTCTCTTTAAACACCATGATCTCATTGATTGAGCTGTATGTATTTTTTCACTCTTCTTCTGTAACAGAACTTGCTAGCTTAATCGTCATTAATTGTTGCTTTTACTGATCATTTGTGATGCTGACTTTTATAAAGTGATTTAAGCAATAATAATCTTGGGGGTGGAGGTCTGATACCATATAATCTACCTCCCAATCTGCAACGACTGTAAGTTAAATTGCTGCTGTTGTTTTCTTCAGGCTTTTGCCCTTCTGAACTTAATTAATATGCCAATGAATATTTTGCTGGAAAAACTTGCAGAAGCCTTTCTGGTAATACATTTAATGGAGGGATCCCCTATTCTATTTCCCTCATGGTTTCTCTTAAGTATTTGTAAGCAGTCTAAGTTAGTTCAAGATGCTTTATTTTTTCATCCTTTTCTGCCAAATTTAACCCAGCTGTGCTACTGGTAATTGTCTTTCATAGAGGCCTTAATCACAATCAACTACAGGGGAATTTGGATGATATTTTCATGAAACTTTCCAACCTCACCATACTGTAAGTGGCATGTTAGATTTCTATGATCCATTATTGGTAGATTTAAGTAATGATTTTACCTGATGAATTTGATGTATTTATATCAGCATTTAGGGTGCGTTTGGGGGGACCTTATTCACAGCGGTGACATTTTCAAAACGTCACCGGGCTGTTTGAATAGAGCGTTTTGGAGGCGTTTTTAAAACTCCATTCGTTTTTTTCTCTTAAACGCGGATCGCGGGTAGGACCTCGGCCGCAATCCGCATTTCGTTCAAGCAATTTACGATAAAGGCCCTCGTCACTCTCTCGTTTGCCTTCCTCCCAGACCCCGTCTCTCTGCCCTAACACTCGACTCTCTGGATTGCCTTCCTCCCGGAAGGATCCGAGCCCCTCGTCATCTCCTCTCCTCCTCTTGGACGTTCGCTCGCCTTCCTCCTGGACGGATCCGAGCCCCTCGCCATCTCCTCTCCTTCTCTTGGACGTCACTCGAAGAACAGGCGGAGCAACACAAGGAATTTCATGCCTGAGCTTAATCGCAACTTTATCGTGCCAAGATATCGCTCGATTGGTGAGGAGATGGGGCTCGGTTTATTGCAGTTCCTGTTTCTGCGTACATAGAAAAAGAGAAATGCGGAGTTTCGAAGACGTTCGAGAATCGCAGTCGCAAGAGAGAAGAAATGTCGATATGTGAACAGAGAAGAAGGTGTTGCTCGGTTCCTTTGATTTTTTTGTGTGCAAACCATAGTTTAGGTACATGTTGAATTTTTTTGTCCTTTGTGTGACCCAAACCCAACCATCTCTTTGAAGTACTTTGAGCTTGTTTTCTCAGATTAATGCAACATATATGGGAATAAAAATATAAAAATATAATTTATCTCTATTAAATGCATCATCAATCATTGCTTACAATCTCAACATAAATATGAATGTGCGGGTTTATATGTTTATGTATAAATATAATTATGCACTTATTTCAAGTTATGTAATGTCTTTTTATCTTATAAGATATCCTAGTTTGTTTAAATTATTTATTTAAAACAGGAGCAGAATGCTCATTTATCTAGAATCAGCTATTTTCCAAACACACAAACCAAACAGCCCGACAGCTTATCCGAATCAGCCGCTTATCAGCAGCTTATTAGGATAAGCAGTTTATCTGAATAAGTTGGATAAGCTACAGCTGCCCCTAAACAGACCCTTAATATGTAGTTTGGTGCAAAGAAAAAGTTTTAAATGCTTAACTACCTGTATTAACATGCTCAGATCCTCAATCCAAATAATAACTAGACTTAGAATTGTCATCCTCCAAATAAGAAACTTTTTTTTTTCCAGTAATTTTCAGTTCTATCTTTTTGTAGTTTCCTTCTTGTTATTTTCACGTTGCTTTCTGTTTGTAAGATAAAACAAATAGTTTTTTTTATTTTTTATCGAATGCGCTATAGTCGGTATGTATAAGTTTTTTAATCTAAATATTAGTTATGCATGTAGTTTCATGTGCTTGAGAGATGACAGTGCATGTTGTCAGGGACCTGTCATTTAATTCATTCTCGGGGGTTCTTCCAGAGAGTTTTCGCAATCTATCGAGTTTAACGACCTTGTAAGGCAGCTGAACTAGGCCATGTATCTTGATTTCATATCCTTTATTGAAACTTTAATCTACTGATCTTTGGTATCCTGCAGACATTTACAAAACAACCAGTTTATGGGTACCATAGATGTCCTTGCTAGTATCCACCTTGAAGACCTGTGAGTGAACAGTATCAACTTCCTGCAATGAATAGTGTCTATCCTTCATAAATTTCATTTAAATCATCCACATGAGAAAAGTTTCGAAATAGTCCCTTGAATGTTTATATGGGGTCATTTTAATCCAAGAGTCTATAAGAGTGCCAAATTAGTCCCAGAACTCTTTAAATTTGGGCTGAAATAGTCTTCATATTAAAAGAGTTTGGAGACTAAATTGACACTTTTATAGACTTTGAGACTAGAATAACATCTGCAAAGCTCCAAGGGACTATTTTGACACTTTTCTTTACCCACATATGGCATCTAATACTTTGTCTCCATGCTCATAGAAATGTTGCTAATAATCATTTCTCTGGATGGATTCCCGACCAACTAAAAGGCATTAAAAATCTTCAGTGAGTACTTGTTGAGATGAATACCATCAATTTGGCATATGCTAGACCAAAAAAATTACTTCTTAAAAAATTTTCTTTAGGAGCTATGGTAACTCATGGAGTGCAGGGCCTGCACCTCCGCCACCACCCTATACACCTCCACCAGCTCGGCGAACTCACCCTGGCCAAATATCTGGTGGTGGTAACAGCCTATCTGATGGTGTTAGTTCTCGGAAAAATTCAGGCTTTGGAGGTGGTGTCATAGCTCCCATAGTTATAGCTATAGCTATTTTGGCTATTGGAGCAATGATGGCCTTCTTCTTGGTAAAGAGAAGAACTAGAAACACTTCAGGTGAAGAGAAGAAGATTGACCAGGACTGTACTTTTACTCTTCCCTCTAAGGATGGAAAGCGTAAGGCATTTGTGCTCAAGTTTTTTTCTTTCTTTTCACATTGATAAATATTTTGCTTCAGCTATTCTGTCATGCCAAAATTTTTATGTCCCTTCATTCTCATATGATTTGTTCAGCTTTCTCAAGGATTTTAAATTCACATGAGATGAATTTTATGTTACAGAGATGATACACAACCATTCATCTGCGTTAATAAACACTGAAATATTGCATTCAGCGAATCCAATTATCCTTAAACCTCCACCGATTGAGCGGAAAAAATCATTTGATAATGATGATGATCTCTCTAACCAATCTACCATAAAGAAAGCAAATGCTGCTCCCATCAGAGCATTGGCTTACTCAGTAGCAGACCTACAGATTGCCACAGGAAGCTTTAGCATAGAGAACCTAATTGGTGAGGGATCTATTGGACGAGTCTATCGAGCACAAGTAAACGATGGCAAGGTATGAAACTCTTTTTCTTTATTTAAGGTATTTCATTGCATTCTTTCATTCTGGCAAATTATTTGTTCCCTGTAGATGAACGGTGATGCCATTTGTTTGCATCTCATATAATAACTCCACTCAAACAAAATAAAAGGAATAATGCAATGCAGACTATCCAGAAATACATAAATTTACACGAATATGATTTGCTGCATTTGTAGCCAGCATTGAGATTTTGTGAAAGAACAATGACATTTTTATGCTTTAGGTCCTAGCTGTAAAAAAGATAAACTCTTCAGCTCTGCCCAGCCAATCGTCGGATGAATTTTTGGATGTGGTTTCTAATATTTCACAATTACACCATCCTAATGTGACGGAGTTGGTAGGATATTGTTCAGAGCATGGACAACACTTGTTGATATATGAGTTCTACAAGAATGGCTCTTTGCATGATGTCATTCATCACTTGGATGAATATAGCAAGCCATTGAGTTGGGCAATCCGTGTTAAAATTGCTCTTGGTACTGCTCGTGCATTGGAGTAAGTCAGATGTTTTCTAGTATTAATTCATTGTTTACAATTCAACATTGATAAATTCTTGAATGATCTTCTATTACGTTTATGTATATTTTTTTTAGCTAGCACTTTCAGTTGAAATAATGCAATGATTTATTCAGTTGAAAGAGCTTCACTTTCACTATTACCTATGAAATTATTTGGTTTTTATACTTACGCTGTATCTATTAGAATTTTCCTATTTCAAACATCAAAATATTCACTGTTGCGAGAAATTTGAATAAATCTCAAAAACAGATTTGAGTGATCCAAAGCAAAACTTTAACACATAATAAGTGCAAAACAAAAAAACGAGAAAACCCAAGAATGGGAAAAAACAATGGAGCCACACCACAGTAAAAAATTCACTATGAAAAAAATGAAGATAATCATATAAATTACACCGCATTCAAGCTCTCCAAACTTTGAAACACTTCAGCATACTCCTCTCCTCTTACATGAGAAATCAAATCCAATCCTTCCCATCAGCAAAACCAAATCTTTAAGGAGAGAATAACTCAAATTCAATTACTGACACGGAGGCATTGTGATGGTGGTGTTGCGGCATCACGATGGTGGTGTTGGGGCGTCGCGATGGTGGCGTTGAAGAGCGCTGAGTACTGACTTTTGGGCATTGTAATGTCGTGCTTTTTAGTTCAACGCGCCCTTCCTTATGCTAGAGCATTGTTGGCCCGACATTGGGGCGTTACTGGTCCGATGTTGTGGTGTTCGGTATAGAAAGAATTTAGGGGCAGCAACCCGAACCCAATATTGTGGTGGCTCCCACCCCCTTTCTGGGCAAACTCACCATCAAGTTTGATCGAGGAAACTGAAAGCCTTGAGTGAACAATTGATTAACATGATCATGCTCCACATAATAACATTCACTTTCAAAATATTTTTCTTAGAAAAACTTGAAGATTTCTTCAAATTTAAAAAAAAAAATGTTAATGTTAAAGTTTATGTGACGGGTTAGAAGATGAGAAATATCAATATCAAAGGATGCCATTGGCCTTGCATGAAAAGGATATTTCATAAAATTTGAAACAGTGCTATGTGGAAGTTGAGGATGCCTTTGGCCTTGCATGAAAAGGATATTCCATAAAATTTGGAACAGTCTGCTATGTGGAAGTTGTTATATGCTTTAACAAACTTTATTTAAAGGAGATGAAGTCTCGGAAAAATCTTAAGGGATGTTTAGTTTCATGTGAAGTTTTAGGAAATAATTCAGCCACACCAAAAGAATCATAATCAGAGGAAAATATTCATCTACATCGAGCATATATTTATCAAAAGAAATGAAGGTTCTTAAAGATCTGGTGGAAGCTTGGATATACATAAAGTTTTAGGTGACGGTAAAGGTTGCTAATAACGTTATCTATAAGCAGTCAGTTCACTGCTATTATAATTATGAAATAAAGGACTATAATCTATCTTGCATAAAAATGAATGCAATGATATCTCACATATTATCTAAATCAGTTTTTGCTGTGTTTGAGATGATTTCAGGTATCTGCATGAAGTTTGCTCACCATCAGTTCTCCATAAAAATGTTAAATCAGCCAATGTTTTACTTGATGGGGAGCATAATCCTCACCTTTCAGATTGTGGTATGTCAAGTATTGTCCCAGCTTTGGAATATCAGGTAACTTTGGATCTTTATTCATTGTTTCCCTCAGAAATATTTCGAATTCTCTTTTCAGTTTCTTTTGTTAAACATACATTACCTTGGAATTTCCGTTAAAAATTGTGGACTAATTCGTAACATAAATGGTGTTTGAGGAATTTTAGGTTGGTGTATAATTTTTGCAATATTGAATAGACATGATCTCCATATAATTTTTATTCATCTTGAGGAGGCTCGCAATTGAAGACCATGAGAAATATTGTTGAGCATCAAGTTAAAACCTGTGTGAAATTCATGTGAGTGTTGAAACAAATGATGGTGCTTTGACTAATATTATAAATAGTTTCGCAATGATACAACAACAACAAGCCTTCATCCCACTAAGGGGGGTCGGCTACATGAATATTTTTTCTCCATTGCATCTTATTAAGTGTAATATTTTGATTGAATTCTAATAAATTAAGATCATGTTTTATACAACATGTCCAAGTCTTTCTAGATCTAACTCTGCCTTTCTTAACATAAGTCGAATCTAAAACATCTACTCTCCTAACCGGATCATCAGATAATTAACATTTAATGTGACCAAACCATCTAAGATGACTCTCTCTAATTTTGTCCACCACGGGAGCTACACCAGCCCTATCACGGATATAATCATTTCAAATTTTTTCTCTAAGTGTAAAGCCACTCGTCTACCTAAGCATTCTCATCTCGACAACACTTAGCTTTATGCTTGTCTTTTAAAGACCAACATTCAGCGCCATAGAGCATTGCAGGTCTTACCATCATCTTATAAAATTTTCCTTTCAGTCTAAGTGGTACTTTTCTATCACATAATACGACCAAAGTATTCCTCCACTTCAACCAACCAACTTAACTTCTACTAATAACAATCTCATTTATATCACCATCACTTTGAACAATAGACCCAAGATATCTGAAGTGTTCACATCTTTTAATAATTTGATCACTCATAGATACAACTCTGTCACTAGAGCTACTACTAGTAAAACTATATTCCATGTATTTAGTTTTAGTTCTACTCAAACGAAGGCCCTTAAAATCCAATGTAGACCACTATAATTCAAGTTTTTCTTGAGATTTTTCTCTAGTCTTATCCACAAGAAGAATATTATCAGCGAAAAAACATACACCATGGTACATCCTCCTGTAAATGTCCAGTAAGAGCATCCATAACTAAAGCGAAAAGATATGGGCTTAAAGCCAATCCCTGATGAAATCCAACTAAAATAGAAAAATATTTGGTCAATCCTCCTACTATTCAAACATAATTAACAACTCTAGTATATATGTCTTTAATGGCTTGAATATAAGTCATACCAACACCTTTCTTCTCTAGAATTCTCCAAAGGATATCTCTTGGAACCTTATCGTAATTTTTTTCTAAATCAATAAAAATTATATGAAGATCCTCCTTACTCTCTCTGTTCTTCTCCATCAAAACTCTTAATAAATGTATAGCTTCCATGGTAGACCTGCCCGACATAAATCCAAACTAATTTTGAGAAATCTTTATAATACACCTTAACCTATGTTTAATTACACTATCACATAATTTTAAAGTATGACACATCAATTTAATTCATCCAGAATTTGCACACTCACTTATTCTTAAAAATGTGGACTCTACTCTTCCTCCACTCCTCAAACATATTTTTAGTTTTTAAAATAATATTAAAGTATTTAGTAAGCCAAGAAATTCTTAAATCTCCTAAATATTTCCACACTTTAATTTGATACCATCAGGTCCTATAGACTTTCCATCTTGGTTTTCTTTAAAGCCTCTCCAACTTTTTTTTACTAATGTGACCGTAAAAATAAAATATTTTATTATTATTAATGATATTAAGATCGATCATATTTTCAAAAACTTCATTAAGAAGTTTATCAAAATAACTCACCCACCTATGTTGAATATATTTTTCTAAAAAAAATTATTTTTTTTCATCTTTAATATACTTTATTTGAGTTAAATATTTACTTTACTTTTTTTTGTTAGTTTATACATATATTTTTTACTCTCTTTAGTATCTAATATATTATAAAGATTACTAAAAGTAAAATTTTTAGCGTCACAAATTGTTTTCTTAGACTCTCTATGAGTCTTAGACTTTTTTTTTTTTGGCTCTCTAAGCTTTTACATTTAAACCAATTTTTTTAACATAACTTCTTTTTAAACCAATTTTTTTAAAAACCAATTTTTTTAACATAACTTCTTATATTTTATCTTTTCTTGCACATTATTATTCCACCATCAGTTATTTTTATTTATAGAATTTTTTTCTTTTAATTTTTAAATATATCTATTGTCACTTGCTTAATAGTGTTTGTTACTTTATCCTGTATATAATTTGCTTATTCATAAACATCCTAAATCTTGAATCTTGAAGTTTACTCATAAAAATAATTTTGTTTGTCTTTTAGGTGCCCTCATCTATTTATATGAATTTTTTTTTTATTTTATAATTTTTTATCTTAAAATTTAAAACTGATAATCGATGTTGAGTACTTAAATTTTCACTTTAAATTACCATACAACTTTTACATTCTCGGCGATCTCTTTTTCTCATAAGAAAATAATCAATTTGTGTTTTATTAGATCTATTTTTATAAGTAATAATATGTTCATCTGTTTTCTTGAATAAAATATTAGCTACAACAAAATTATATGCTAAAGCAAAATCTAATGTGATTCTACGTTCTTCATTAATCACTCCAAAACCGTAGCCACCAAGAATATTTTCAAAATCTCCAACATTCTACTGACATGATCATTTAAACTCCAATAAAAAATTTTTCTTCAAGAAATCATTTGTATTAAGTCTTCTAAGTCATTCCAAAAATTTTCTTTATAACCTATAACTAAACCTACTTGAGGAGCATAAACATTTATAATATTAAAAATCTTAGTACCAACAATAATTTTAAGAGCTGTAATTCTATTTCAATTCTATTATTTTTTACAACATTATCTTTCAAACTCTTATCTATAATTACACCTACATCATTTCTGGTGTGACTCTTGCCTGAATATTCTACTTTAAAACTTAAGTTATAATTTTTCTGTCTTTTCTCCAACCCATTTAATTTCTTCAATGCATAAGATATTTTTCTTTTTATGAATTGTAATATCAATTAATTCTATTAATTTACCTGTGAGAGTATCTTTATTCTATGACTATCTCCTAATATTAGTTTCATGGAATAACTTCTTTATTGGCATTCATCTGTAATGTGAGAATCCTTATTTATTTGACGCTACATCCGAGCGGCGGTATAGCGGTTATTGCACACTTTTCACTGTATTCAAGTCATACAGCGTGTTGCTTCTAGAGGATGCCCTAACATTTACACAATAATCAAATGGATTCATGTCTTGATTTTTCGGCAAATTTTACACTGGTTGTCAACTACCTAACGCAACTCTTCATTTTTCACATTCGGGCTTGGGACTTGGCAATGGTATTGTTGGTTGCGGAGTAATAGAAGAATTTTTTAAATCTCTACATTGTATAGAACTACATCAATAATCAACATCTTATAGCTTTTTATATTTATTATGAAGATGCTTATAAAAACGTTCAAATTGAGTTGCCTTGATAAATGTTTCTCACATACGATATTGTTTCTAGTCTTTTTGAAGGTAAGGCTTGCATACCTCAGCCTTCAAATAAGATGAGGCTATAGGACCTTGTACACCTATCTAGTAAGCACCATCACTAAGGCATTTCCTTAGAAAACACCTTGTACTGTGGGTTAGGTAATGTGGTGAGCATCTTACATTGATTAGAGAGATGTCTTTTAATACTTATGATGTAAAGAAGCTTCCAAAAATAATTTTAATAAATGTAATTATAAGATCTTCAAGTCTTAATTATGAATCTTGAGAAAGAACATGACGAGTTCAGGAAGACAGGAGAAGATGGAGAGTAATACATATAATGATGGAGAATAGAATATAAATTTTGGTTAAAGTACAATATATCATAGTCAAGGTTAAATTATTCCTGGCTTGCCCATGCTACAAACTGAATTAGAACTTCGAATGCAGCAGAACTTGTGATACTACAAATATGTAATTTTCCAAATTTTTAAAGTTCTTTTGCTGTCCAATTAGCTAATTCACGGAATAACTGAGCTTGAATGATTGCATGAAATTTGTATTACATTGTAATATTGGTATTATTTGCATCCTCATCAACCTTGCAGGCTCTTGATCACAGTATGGCTTCTGGATATAGTGCTCCTGAGGTGGCTATGTCCGGTCAATACACTCTGAAAAGTGATGTGTATAGCTTTGGAGTGATAATGCTTGAACTCATGACCGGCCGAAAGCCTTTTGACAGGTGAAGCTTAAGTCCAATACAATAAATTTTATCCTGTTACAACCAATATAAAAAATGAAATAATCAGATTTGAAAGAATGAAATATGATTACTGATGTTATAATCATTCTGGTTACTACGACAGTTCGAGACAAAGATTAGAACAATCATTGGCACGATGGGCGGCTCCGCAACTCCATGATATTGATGCGCTGGACAGGATGGTTGACCCATCCCTAGAGGGGCTTTATCCTGCAAAGGCACTCTCTAGGTTTGCTGATGTGATCGCCCTTTGTATTCAGGTGTGAATGATGCATAAATTTACATATTCCGTCTTTTCTTTTTTAAAGTTGCAGACAGGTTATTAACAATCTAAACCGTATATATTATTTTTGCTATATTGAATGTGATACATATGATTTTTTTAACAGGTTATTAACAATCATTGGCACTAGGTTTGCTGAGTTTATTTTTTGATTTTTACATATGATGAAGATATCCTTCCGTGTTTTAGGATGGATGTAAATCATATGTTTAAGAGATCTTGGCAGAGATCTTGGCATATGTGTGATCCACCCTAGTGTTTATCACAGTAATGTAAGTCTTGGTAATGACACCAGAAATCTGATCTGCTCTCTAGCAAATTGATTGAGTTCTTAAAATTAGGTATTATTAATCACTGGGGTTTTTCACCCAAGTATATGTATAGTTTCAATAATATAGGACTCTATTGAGTTTAGATTGTCAATCTCACAGAGAATGAGGTAACGAGTCCAATAAGAGAAGTTCTAGTCTGCTGCACTGAGGTCTTAGTTTGGAATGTAAATTAAAAGAGTTTTTCTAACAATTACTCGTAAACTATAGCAATAATTCTAAAACTAAACCTACTATATTAATTGGGTTGGTGAATATCAAGATATAAAATTACATTTCTCTTGTGATTGCATAAGTGAATTGTAGGATCGAATACTAAGAGTTGTTAATATGACTATTGACAAATATTATCGTATATCTTGTTTACCCTCTTCCGAGTGCTTAAAGAAGTTTGGTTTAACTTTGTACGTGTATCTGCCAGTCACCTAGAAAATCCCAATTTATACCCATCAAAACTCATCTCCATATCTATTTGCATTGCCTTATGGACTACTTTTCCTTCACCCACTAGTTCAATATGATATCCCTAGTTGTTCATGTCAAAGCTCTTCCAAGTTTTTATGGGTTCACAACAAGTTTTAACATACCATTTGACCAGAATGATAAATAAAAGAAGTACAAAAGGAAAGATCATCACATTATTGGATAAATGATCAATTCTATAAGCATTTTAACATCCTACAAATCATACTTATTCATCACAGGAGAAAGGAAAAGGAAATATACTCACAAAGTTTAAAGAACACCGTAGAAATCATTATTTTACTGAGCAAATCCACTAAATGTGTGTTTACGACAAATCCAAGACAAATGAAAACACGATACTTAGCCTTTCTCCTCTGAACAGAGATGAAAAGTTCCTCCAACTGTGAATCCAAGTCCTCCCTGCAATGCTGAAATGATCATCTTATAGTTTTTTTCTCAAAATCACTCACCAATCTCTTACGAAAAGTGGAAATTTACCAACCCTAGATTTCCCTAGAACTCCTTGGCTTCTCTCCACTTCTCCCAGACTTCACCGTCAATCGGGTTCGCTCTTTCGAAATGCACAACACCCCCATATAACTCCCAGATTCGTGTGAAATGAATTGCAAAAACAGCCGCAGGTCGTTCGAGTGGCTAGGCGCATAGAACTAGTGCCAAGGCGCTGGAGTGGAGCGCCTTGGTGCCCAGAAGTTGGCGCCTAGGCACTAAACTCTCGGTTTGGTGCCCTAGATTCTGGCTCCTAGGCACTTGGATGAAGCTCCTTGGCGCCCAGAGTATGGCGCTTAGGCGCGAGACTATTGAACTCTTGCTCTATTTCAGCTTTGTTTCGCTTCATGTGTCCTACCTCGTTATATCTTCAAGAAAAACATAAGAATATTTTTCTTTAAAGTGCAGTTTATCTAAAAGCAAGTGTAAAATAAAAAGGAAATTAAGCATGTTTTAGTACACATCAATATGCAAAAGTTTTAGGATACAATGATGATTTGTAATTTCAGTATAGCAAGCATGTCTATTTTTCAAATTAAGACAAAAGGAAAAATAAAAACGTAGAATAGAAAACATTAACAAAAGTGATCCAACTGCCTCTCCATTTTTTGAGGTCACTTCCTTAACATTTATTGGACAAGACTCTTGCCTCATGTTTGACATTTAGACTATGCACTGGACAACATTTTGTTACGTTTACTTCACTGCAAAACAAAATAATTGTTTATTTTCATTTTCTTAAGATTCATAAAATTTGCGTGAATTTAATCGTGATCATTAGCAGTCATTGCGTTTGAATTCAACTTCAATATATATTTTATTTATAAAAGGAAGCGCTTTTTGGCCCCATGATGAGAGTCCGCATCATGTGCCTAAAATTCCAGAACCCCCGTGTCACGGTGGGATCAAACCCTTGACCTGAGGAGACTTACAATGACCCCGCCACCAATAGGTTAAGACTTTGGGCACACGCTCACTCGCACACACACAGATATATATATATATATATATATATTTATTTATTTATATATTTCTTATTGCTCATTCTTAAACAGCACTGTAGTAAAGGAAAAATAAACTCGTTGTATTGCAGCCGGAGCCAGAATTCAGACCGCCCATGTCGGAGGTTGTCCAAGCATTAGTTCGCCTGGTGCAGAGGTCCAACATGAGCAAGAGAACATTTAGCAAAGAAAGATTTGATGCAACGGGAAGATATGATGATCCCCTCTTTCCATAATATCTGCCCTTTACCCTGATAACAATGCTTCTTTACTGATGTCTATATAAGAGCAGGTTTTTCTACTGGGAATCATTTATGTGACATGGCGCCTGGTTTATATATGACAGGTGATTTTTGTTATTAAAATTATCTAATTTAATTTATACTTTCCACCTGCTATTATGCACATTTTACACGATTGAGCTGCTGTTTTATTGTTGTCTGCACTACATTTTGCGTGCTGTGGAGTACATCCGAGTTCAAATCGATAGAATTGATTAGGTGAGTCGAGCTTAGTTGGCCTCACTTTCTCGGCCATGTTAGTGTTCGCCTACTTAAAAATTAGAATACCCATTGAGCTTGCATGATGAACTCAAGCTCATTGAATAATTGCCATAATCATCAGGCTTGAAGTGAAAATAAAAAGTGAAAAATCAAACAGTTGTTGCAAGGATGGTGGGATTGTGAATTGTACAAGCTCAATCCACAAGTTTAATGAATTTAGTTTGCGCGTTTAAACTTTTTCTTATGTTAGCCGTGCTCATAGCAAGCTTCTTTGAGGAAGATTCACATGCATACCGGTTAATTTGTATGCATTTACATCTCTTTTAACACCTACAAGTTCAATTTTTTTTATTTTTACCATCTTATCTATGCATTAAAATGTATTTTTTAAAAAAATTGATATAGTGCTGTATTTTATTGATATGAAAGCTTTTTGGTCTTATAGATGTAAGATTTAAATATTATTAATGTAAAGACATAAGTGGCATATATATATATATATATATATATATAATCAGACACGCCTAACCAGCCAACTACAAACCCAATAGGTAAGGGGGGATTTGAACCCTAGACTAGAGGGGACATAACGAACAAAGTTTATGCTCTACGAACTGATCTAAGAATGCGGTTATATATATATATATATAATTTGTCAATTGTATTTTATTCCTTTTGCGCCGCATGCTCAGATCAGTTAATCAGACATCTGCTTGTCAGTTGTAAGTCCCCTCTGATCTGATAATTTTTGGCTAATTATATACCCAATTAAATACTTGATGATAAATTAATCGAGTATATATTATTTGATTTCCCCAATATAGAGTGTGACACTCAAATTCTTAGGTGCATGAGAAATGACTCGGGCTTGTACAATAGCCTCCGACCATTTTTTTTTAATATATATATATATATATAATTTGTACGTTTAATATTTTGCACAACAAAAAAGGCCCAAAAAGGAAAGAAAAAGTAGGGGAGATTATAAAAAAATTACTTCTACAATACGTTTACATGGCTGCAGCTACCAGCTAAAGCCCCACAAATTTTTGGCTAATTATATACTTAAATACTTGATGATAAATTAATCGAGTATATATTTGCTAATGCCACAAAAAAACAACAAAAAAGGCCCAAAAAGGAAAGAAAAAGTAGGGGAGATTATAAAAAAATTACTTCTACAATACGTTTACATGGCTGCAGCTACCAGCTAAAGCCCCACACACTAAATAAGTTAACGAAACAAACCTAGCTTTCTACATCATAATACTGAGAAAGTTCCGGCAACCATGCCCGAGAAATTTTACGTACATAAATTTGATTAGTTTGGATCAACTCGGTAAATATTATGCACTCAGGCTTTGTTCTAAACAACACTGAAGAAGGGTGGATCTGCACGCTCTGTCCATTCGCCTTAACCCTGTCAAAAACAAGCGACAATTAATTAGTAGATATGTTAAGCTCCTAAACCAAATACCTGATAGCGCAATTGAAATTTTTATTTATTTTTGTAGTTTCTAATGGATTGAATGGCATGGTTGAATTGCTGCTATGTATATATTATGCAACATGAATCAGGCTGCTGCTCTCACTTAAGAAAACTCATTTCTGGAAGGGCTGATACAAACTATAAATATCTGATAATTATAGCAAACTTTATTATGAAGTTTAACTAGAGCAGCACATTTATTTTTTTTAGTTAATTTACTTATTCATCCCATGAGTTTTTCTTTATTATTTTCTTTCGAAATAAGTCGGTTCAACATGCAAACCATGTACTTTCAAAAAGCTGCGAGTCCTAAACCGGAATAAAAAAGGTACATCAAATCATTATATATCTAAATTACATGTAAGAAAATGGAAACAAGCGAAGTAGCTCAATTCTATAGTTAAAAGTTACACCATTGAAAAGAGCAAGGTTGTGAAAACCAGACCGGATATTGAACCAATATAAGGAGAGGTTCAAGGTTCAATGATTGAACTGTTGGATGACCAAATAAATCATAAATGTATTTAAAAATGTCAATACATAAGATTTACATCTCACTCAATTCATATGTATTTAAATAACTAATACCTAAATTTTAATTTTAACATGTCATTTTATCTATGCATGAAAACATATATTTCACTTTTTAAAAATTAAAATAGTGATATTCTATGTGATTCGGATAACTTTGGTGTTACAAATGTAAAATAAAAAGGGTGGGTGTTGAATATGTAAAATACATAAAATTGGGTAGTATGTATGTAAATGCCCGTGAATCACAAAAAGTTTTTCTTTTTTATATATGTATATATTATAAGACGGTGGTGAGACCTGCAATGCTCTATGGTGTTGAATGTTGGCCTTTAAAAGAGAAGCATAATAATAAATTAAGGGTTGTCGAGATGAGAATGATTAGTTGGATGAGTGGCTTTACACTTAGAGACAAAATGCGAAATGAATAAATTCGTGATAGGGTTGGTGTAGCTCTTGTGACGGACAAAATTAGAGAAAGTCGTCTTAGATGGTTTGGTCACATTAAACGTCGACCATCTGATGATCCGATTAGGAGAGTAGATGTTTTAGATTCGACTTGTGTTAAGAAAGGCATAGGTAGACCTAGGAAGACTTGGGCTTATTGTACTAAAAATGATCTTAATTTACTAGAACTAAATAAAAATATGACACTAAATAGGACGCAATGGAGAAAAAGGATTTATGGAGCCGACCCCACATAGTGGGATAAAGGCTTTGTTGTTATTGTTGTTATATATTAAACTGATTAATTATATAGTAATAATTTTTATTAAATTGTTTATTCCATAATGTAAATCAATATATCAAATATAATAATTTATATGTTTCATGTGTAATATTTGTGGCTCTAACTAAAAATATTTTTTTTCTCATGTTTGCTTTACTTTTAGTCCCACATCTCAAATATGTATTCACTATTTGATCTTTAAAAAAAAGAATGTAAAAGGTATAAACAAAGAGAAATAATTCTAAAAAGTTAAATATATTTTTGGATAGGTGAGTCGAAGACATTAAATAATATGTTTATTTTATTATTATATTGGTGGGCCGAAGACATTAAATAATATGTTTATTTTATTGTTATATTGGTCCAACACTTCTAACTTTTATAGTTTAGTTTCATCTTTCCCATATATTGAAAGGCATGAGAATATGAGAGCCATAGCAACAGGCCTATGGGCCTTTCACTTTGGGTTAGACCATGAAAATTTTGCATAAGAAAGCGGGAGCGGGCGGTTTGATAGAACCGCTACCGTTTTGCCGGTTTAAAGGTTGGACCGGCAGTTTAGGCAGGTTCCAGCTTGCAAGGCCGGTTTTTAGCCTACCTAGAACCGGACCACTGACCGGTTCACGGACGAGCTAGTTGAACCAGCCGGCTCGATCTTGTTTTTTAAACCTTAGATTTTGAAACCATATTTGATTGTAAAATGAAATTTTTAGCATAAATTAATCAGACAGTTCAGAATTAAGTTTAATGAGTGTGGTTCGCGTACTACTAATTGCAGAAAGAAAGAAGAGGAGTGTAGGTGGGTGCCCTACGCCGGTAGTAATTTCTCAAATAAAAACATTAGAAAATGATAGAAAATTATACCTATATGATCCATCAGGCTGCTTGTCTGCGGCATTGAGGAAGAAAGATGCGGTGAGGCATCTGTGAAACTGAAGCATATCATCCCCACATGAAGACAGAGACATATCCATTTGTAATAAATGCAATTTAATCTGACTGTAATGAGAGACAGAAAAGCAGGCAAATTACTAAGAGTTTTAAAACAAGTTATCATCATCACCATCTTCAACATTATCAAATTATTTGTAGTCTGTTGTATGAATCCTCAATTTTATTTTGATTTAGTTTTACGAATACTAATTTTTCATTCATTCCTACAAAATGTTACATGAGATGCCAAATCTATTATTTGAAAATATTTTATTGATACCATCTATAAAGTTTGATTGGATAAAAAAGAATAAATAATATAGAGCTCCTCATAAAAAAAATGATAAGAGAAGAGAGTTAAATCATTCATAAATCATAAACAAACCGAGATGCGTCTATACTAAAATACAAAATATTTTTTGTCCAATATAAGCTATGAAAAAGTTCTATAAAAACTAAGTAAGGTTCCAAGAAACTACAAGTAAAATCTTCTGGTCCTACAAAATTCACATATATAATTTTTACATTATTGTCACCAAAATATGAAAAAAAAATAATTGAAAACTAATAATATATTATTATGGGCATTCAATGACCTAAAGACAAACGAATAAATCTTTGTCTGTCTTCAGTTAGCTCAGAAATCTAGTATGTATGTTAGCTTTTTGTTTGGCTCATTAGTTAATGAATGAGTGAAACCTTAACCATGCACAAATATTGAGCTAGATTGCACGCCTATTAGGAAACCTCAAAGGCAACTTTAGTTTTAAAAGCAAGTGAAAGCAATAGTTTGCAGCAATTCAGTACAAGATAATTTTTAAAGAATTTATTTCTACAGGGCATAGAGGCGTGTACTTTAAGCTTCATGGTGTAGCCCATAAAAGTATTTACAAAATTAATAGAATGGGAAATGAGATGAATAATATTTTTTATATAACCATTTGACTTCGAGATTTGGTTTCAGGCAATTTATTCATACAATCAAGCTAAAGCTAGACGTGTTACTTTTTTACTGGAAAGAATGGCAACAAAAAAATACAGTCGTGAGCCCGATATAGAAAAAGAGGTTCAATTACCACCTCAAGTTCATCTCGCAACAGTAGATCAGAATTCAGTATTTTGAAATCTAATAAAAATTTAAGATCCTTAAAGAAGAAAATAAACATTGCATAAGAATTAGTATAATTTGAAAATAAAACTACTAATAATATTCATCATAGTAACTTGACAACAGCTGACAAAAAAATGAAATTTAGCAAGGCTAACCTGTGAACATCTAGCGCATGCTTTAGCGATCTATTATTGATGAAATTATCTCTGCACCACTTATTTAGACTTTTCTCAACTTTTTTCTCGTTAACATTAGCAGCTCCAATCTTCTCCAGGTGCCCAACAGCAGCACGAAATATAGTCACAAAAGTTAGATGGTCACCATCAGGACTCGAGAATTTTTTCCATGCAGATCTCGCCTTGGAATAGAAAACAACGGAAGGTAAACTATATAACAAGGAGGTGATAAACATACAATAAATACATGATAGTTTCAACTTTCAAGTTTGACAAATTGTTTTTAAAAAATGGAGAAAAAACCTGATGATGAAAGGGTCAATGAGTGCGTTTGGATGGTGATAATTTGAATGAGAATAACTCAAATAAAGTACTTCAGATAACCATGCAACAAGAAAATATCATAAAAAAACTACAATTAAATGATTGTTCCTCAAGGGATCAATGCATTGAGCACTAAGAAAATCACAAATAGGCAAGTTGAGTGCAATATCAATGATAACGTTAAAACGGATGTGCTAATAATAGCAATACTTGTGGCGTAATAATCATATTAAAGAGATCATGGGAGCAGTACCCAATCAAGATAAGGTGGGGAAACATAGACTGAAGTAATTCAAGCATGTATAATGGTGAGAAGCAGATATAACAATACGACAAGCAAATAAAGTTAATTGAGAAAAAAAGTTGTGTGAAAAGATATGAAAAAATAAACTTAACACAATGTGCATCACAAGAAGAATGAATGAGAATTTTGATTGTATTAATATGGTCAAAAGCCTTGATTTTTTGCAGACAAACAATACAAAGGAAAACAATTTACATACATACCACTTAGTTCCTAAGTATTACATATCTAACAACTAATCTTTACTTCTTACATTTATACCACCCAAAAGTTTCCTATTACATTAACAATATCATCATTTCAAATTCTAAAAGTAAAACACTTCTCATGCATAGATAAGGTGGCATGTATGTAAAAATTGAAGTTTAGATGTTTGATATGTAAATACATAGGAATTGAGGTATGCAAGTAATTCTTCCTCTTGTTTTTTATCAATACAATTGTATAATTATCACATTGTGATGATTCCACCTCGCCTTCACATGCCATTGAATATATCGGGATGTAATCAGTATATAGTACCTCTTCTAATTTTTCACGCGGAGCGTAAAAAATAGACTCTACTGAGAGCATTGCAACCACAATCAACATTTCTTCCAAGCACTTGAATTCCCCAGACAACATTAGAGCTTTAGAGTATATGGGATCCAAGGGAAATCGAGCCATTTGAATCCCAACTGGATCAGATAATTTACAATCATCGGTCAGAGCCCCTAAAAGGTACAGCTCTTGCAGGGATTGTTTAATGGCGCTCCTGTCAATGGCATCAACTAAGAGAAAGTTAATGTGATGCCCGATGCCACACAAATTAACAATGGCAACAGTAGGCAGAAAACAGTTAAGAAGAAATATTAATTATAGTGCAACATAATGACATAACCAAGCATGAAGCCCGGTTTTTCAATATTCAAAACATGGCTTCAAAAATTACAATAAGCACATCAACGTACGATAGAACATAACAAGGTAAAGTTAGCGTGCAATATAAGCTAAATGAAATATGAGATTCCCAAGTAGGCTTTTGAAACGCCAAGTGCAATAAAATGTGCATGTGTTTTTTTTAAGTTTAGCAATGTAGCGTTTTTACTAATCAGAGCATTGTATAGCATAAGCACATTATTTGCATAATATTTATAATTAATCAAACTTGAACCACTCCACAGAACAAATTTTTTACAAATATAATGATACATTTAATACTAATAATTTACAGCAATTCAAAATAAGAAAAATAAATGATATAAATAATGAAATGATGCACAAATAGCGAAGAAATGAGTGTGAAGAAAAAAATCACCAACAATCAACTCAAATGAAAGAGAATGGAGAACCAAAAAGCAGTAACTTGATGGCTATGATAAGTAGTGAGAAGAAACAAGCACTCTCGCCTAGTTACTATGAAAAACGTTGAACTGAACTATGAGATCTAAACTAAAATTTCACTATGAGCATGAGTCGAGAGCATTGCACATGCACAGGGCTAACACATTGCTTTGCTTTGGTTCGCTTCTAAATCATTGTAAACAATACTCATCCAAAGATAAAAAAGCGTCAGGAATTAAAGCTTCATTCAGTAAATTGTGTTCTTATGTACAAAATAATTTCAACCCTAATCTCATAGAACGAAACTTCTGATTTGTAAATGTGTTCATATGTACACATGCAATATAGCCTTCATGTAACACAATCTCTGCATAATAAAAATTGATATGTGCTCGATTTTCACGAGGCAAACAAGGGAAAAAAAAGTAAACAATGGCCAAGTGAAGTCCCAATCCAAATGACAGCGGATTTGCCAAATCAATTAAAAGCATAACCAAATTGAAAAAAAAAATTATCATAATAAAATTAAAATAAAAACACGGGGAGCAATCAGAAAAAACATAACAAAAAGTTTACTAAAATGTAACTCCTAAGTTTTACTCCTACGGAATGATAGGTTCTAGTTATGAGGAATGCAATTCAACTACGGAATAGAAAAAGACTATTACCCGTTCCGATAACACTGAAAATTTCTTCATTTCATGAAAGAGTGATAGGAGTGCAATTTTAATTAGCAAGACAGTACCCTGACAAATTTACTGGTTAACAGGAAGAATGCCATCATGCCAGTGAGCAAAAATGATGCAAATAACATAAAAAATAAGCATTTTCACCTTGAAGGTTTTTCCATGAAATCAAACCCAATAATATCATCAAAACCGAGGGCTTTAAGCTCTAGTACAACGTTTGAAAGGTTGCACCTTTTTATCTCTGGGACTGTAGAATCTATAAATTTCCAAAATTCACTTTCTGGATATAACCGGAAGCATTTTCCAGGACCCTCACGTCCAGCTCTACCACTACATAATAAATAAAGAAAAATCATGTTAGTAGAATATAGCACAAATGCAGACCATGCCACACATCTAAAGTTGTACTTTTAGGTAATATGTGTAGCAATAAATGTCAATCCATGCAGCAAGTTCATTTGGAAAACATATCAACAACGCATGAAACTATTGTCTGAGTTAGGTAGAAAAATAATGTCAAGCGCCACTTTGGGTCATGCTTGTAGTGAGGGTTGTGAGTAAGCCCATGCACTTGCTATAAAGCTAGATTAATACCCATTCAAGTTAGAAATAGAAAGCTTTCGTAAATGCACGTTAATATGAAAGTTTGAGGGTGAGATATGTAAATACATAAGAATTGTGTGCTATGCATGTAAGTGGCCCAAAATTTTAATAACATTACCCACAAATGTAGGAACATATAGATAATATGAAATGATAACACACATACTTAGAGAAACACCAACAGTTTGCATAAATGGTCATGAAAGGATTTCAAACCTCCTTTGAAGAGCTTGAGCTTTTGAGATTGGCATAATAATTAACGACTGCATCCCTGTAATGGGATTGTAATAGCGAGATTTCACGACTCCAGAGTCTATAACATATTTGACGCCTGGAATGGTGACAGAAGTTTCTGCAATGTTAGTAGCCAGAATGACCTGCATAAGCATTAAAAAAAAAATGGCACATTACGAGTCAAGTAAGAACATAAAAATTTAGCTAATTTTAAGATAAAGAAAAACTATAAAAATCACATTTTTTTGAAAGAAAATAAATAAATAATTTTTCATGGTTCGCGGGATATTTATGTAATTTGAATATCAAGACAGTCCTCAAGAAGAAAGCACAAGTTACCAACAAAGCATCAAAATCACTCTCTAAATCTCAGGTAATATGGTTCCAGTGAATATGACGCAGCTCCATACAGGAATCCTCTGTATTTGGTAGGATTTTTGTTCTACGAGAAAGTTTTGCAGATTTAAGTGGGCTTTCAACAGACTTCTGTGGGATTTAAGAGTGCCCGCTACTTTTGTGAGATCCTAACAAAAGTTTGTGGTATGCAACTTATTTAGGTAGATTAACTATAGTAATTATTGGGATATGCACTACTTAGAACCATCTATAGAGATAAATCATTTTCTCCGCATCTACTTTCAAAAAAATTTTAAATTAGTTATTTTTAATTAAAAGGGTCTTTGGACTTGTACATAGGGCACTATATTATATTTTGAATAAAATCTATTTAAATGTGTTATTCCTTCTATTTCATGAAGTCAAATCCTTGTTTAAGTGTGATCCTTCAAGATTTACAAGGAAGTTATCTTCTTGATTATGCAACAGACTTGATTCTACTGTTTGAAGACTTTTTTTTCCTTTTATTTCATATCTCTTATTTAAATCTTGTTATTGTTTTACATGTCTGATCATGTTAATTCAAGTTTGACATAATGGGTGTTCAATGATATTGTTGTTTATATTATTAGCATGGTTTTAATGATTATAAATTTTTACACATGTTTGGAAGGAAAAAATAAACCGTCTGTGTTTAAATTTTTTAATGTTATAGACTTCAAAACAAGTAATGCAAAGTTATTAAAATAAAATTTCTAACTCATAACTTATGTTTGTTTAATTAATGATTCTCAACATCTCCTATTAGATATACATTAAAATCCTAAACCCCACAACATCTTACAATAAATTTAGTGTCAAAATTTAAGATTGCATTATAATATCTTATAGACATACCGTATAAAAATTGAGCCAACTTACAAAATCACAAAATCATACAATATAAACAAATTAATTAAATTATGGTTTAAAAAATTTCAACATCACTATTAAAAAGCTAAAACTATGCTCATATGCTGGATGGGAGGCATCCTGAGGCATTTTCATATTAGGTAGATGACTTTGAATAAAAATGATATATTAATTCCAGAGAAGTTGAATTTGTCAAAATAAAACTAAATAAAACATTCTTACTTCTTTTGGTGAAGTGGTGTTAAAACAAAATTTAAAAGGGTTGGGCTAAAACATAGCTTTAAAAACATTATTTCTCAAATAGGGAACAATTGCATAATGTTTGTGTTAAATATATTATAAAATCTTATGGTGAAATATTATTTGTTTGTAGTCTACCATGTTATCAATATTTGTTTCATTAAAAGCAATAAGCCAAAAATAAAACAAAACTCGAGCTATAATCCAGCAAACATGATAAATGAGAAGTATACAGTTATTTGAAGTTAAAGAAACATTCCAGTTGTATTTATTTTAGGATAACCACATCATTGATTGATATTTCTAAGGAAAAAACATTATCATTTATAGCCTAATAAATGCACATCGATTTAAGAATTACACACGGTCAAAATTCAATCCAAATGAAAAAACTACAATTCATAAATATTTTTTAGATGAAGGATAAAATGCAGAGAAAGATTTACAATTATAACAACATGATTATACATCTTTTTTGTAAAATTTACAGGCGCATCAAAGTTTACAGCAAGACATATTCATGAATCTGAACCAAAAATTAAGCGAGTGTCAAAATCTGAACCTTAAGAATTTACACATAAGATCATTTCTAAACCTAAATCATAATTGTAATTTGAAACCAATCGCCTGCACAAAATTGAACTATGCTTGTTGAAGTTGATAAATCAATTATATTTTTTGTGAAAGTAGCACCACAGTATCTACATGCATATCCACAAATCAAACTTATATTACCTGTATTTTAAACTCTTGACCTTTTGTGCTTTATAAATTCTTTTAAGAGATGTTATAGAGTAAGTCAAAAGTGCATTGAAATATCTATGAATTAATTTAGTAATAACTACCTTCAAGAAAATCAGAAATTTACAATGTCATTTATCTTATCGAACCCAAGAGATATAATTTATCACAACAAATCAATAAACCATTTGGCTGATTTTTTTAAAGAGTTAGTTTGTCCTTAAGAAAGACATGTCATGTTTATGTGATTTGTTCATTAACAAAAAGAAAACTATGATATTCAATAAATATCAAATTTAAATTCTCTTAATCATCTACTCGTTTAGCCATTAGTTATTATGTATACATGAAAAATCATACAAGTCATTTAGCCTGTTTTACAACTCATTTGACATGTGCATGATTTGCGCAAAAAGTATTAGCATGAAACTATCAATTATGACAATTAAAAGCCTAATGCAAATATAAATTTGAGATATGTAAAATTCAAAAATAAAAAATCAAATAATGGTTCTTAATGAATGTTTTTTTTAAAGTGTGCTCCACATACAAAGCGAAGCGTTTGACACTAACTTAGCTTCACTGAAGAGTGTTTTAAAGTGCCAAAACAAAGCAGTCGGTCAGGTTCACAGTATAGCAAGATGGAATAAAAAGCTACTAAATTAGTTTAATTTATTTTATAAAACTTGATATTTTATTAATTTATTTATGATTTAAGATTTAGATTTTGTTATAGATTAATTTTTTTGTAATTTTTAAGCTTTTAATTATCGTGGTAAAATAAATATTTCAAAATTTTAATTTGAAAGCTCGCCCTTAATTTTTGCCTTCGAGTTAGGTATTGCACCACAATCTTTTATAATTCATATAAGCTTTTAATTCATACTTTATATTTTATATTTGTTAATAAAGGTGTTTATACTTTAGTAATTTTATATAACATATTAGCACTTTAGTTAATAAAAGTACAGCTTCGCTTTGGGCTTTGCATTTTGAAATAAAAATAAAAACTTGTGCATTGCATTGTGTTTTGCACTTTGATAACAATGGGTTTATCACCTTAAAAGAAAATTAACATCTAGAAAAATATGACTATTAAATCATATAACGAAATGGATGAATACGTATAACTTAAAAATCCTACAAAAAATCTAATATTAGCCTAATTTCTAATATATTTAATTTTGTTTTATATCATAAACTACCACTTATTAAATTAAATTATAGTCTCCTAACACACATCTCTGCAACCAAGTCATTGAACATTCCGTACTACTTAATGCCTTAAGGAGCTTGCTTATGGAATGCCAGAATAATGATGCTTACACGAGGTATCTAAAACCTAATAGCTTCGCATCAACTCACCCAGGCGATAAGCAAAATACCTAGCTCTTTAACATTGATCGTGAGGCTCTAATTTCACTTATTCAAAACTAAGTATCATAATCTAAAAAAATAAAGATAATAAAAGGAATCAAAGCCTTATTGAGCTCCATTCAACAACTTTTCATCACACATTTTGGCATGAAAATTTTTATACTGCCATCTAAATGTTTAAGCAAGGTATGTTCTTAGGAAACTAAGCAAAAGAAAACAGCTTCAATGAACTGAAAAATATATAAATGGAAATAATTTGATTTCATAAGTGGAATAACTAAATAATATCAAACTATATATCAAATTAAATCACTAGTTCCACCAATAAAAGCATTGTATCTTCATGGAAGCTTAATATGCCATCCATGACTAGTTTCTTCTTTTTTGGCAAGTTACGAAAACATTGACATACTTCAAAGGCTAAATAACAGAAAAATCACATCAAAAAGCAAGAAATTTTACTTTATGGAAATCATTTAAGGTGTAACTTTAAAGCACCAACAAAAAGTAATTAGCTTCAAAATGGCAATAACACAGCTGAGTGAAACAAAAAAACAACTCGTTACTTAAAAGTTCATCGATCAATAAGGAGGAAATACTGATAATTACAGGTTATCACAGCTTCTAAAAGAAGAATAATAAATTGTCAGATTTTATATTCCAAATGGATAAATGCATGATACCTTACGAAAATTGGATGGAGTTGGCTTAAAGACATTCATTTGCTGATCCGAAGGAAGTGTTGAATAAATTGGAACAGTTAGAATGTTCCTACTACGCTCAGGTAATTGTTTAAGTCGTTCGTGGACAAGAATGTCTACTAATTCAATTTCTTCTTGACCGGTCAAAAATGCAAGAATATCCCCGTGACCATCCTCCAAATGAATCTAACAAATAACGTGGAAGCAAAACAGTCACAATAATGTACAAACTAGCAACACTGTTAATGGAAATAACATGAATTTTGTAGTTCAACCAAACAAGCCAATAAAAGATAAAAGGAAGATTCGCATACATACCACTTAATTCCTATGTATTTACATATCCAACACCTAAACTTCATTTTTTACATATATGCCACCTTTCATTTTTACATATATGCCACCTTACCTATACATGAAAAGGTGTAAAAAGGTGTATTTCACATTCTAAAAGTTAAAATAGTGTTCTTTATTATGTGATATGCAAGATTTGGGTGACATAAATGTAAAAAGTAAAGTTTAGGTTTTAGATAAGTAAATGTACAGGAATTGGATCGTATTTATGTAACTGCTCCAAGATAAAAATGATATGTGGAAACATGGTAATTTGAAGTAGGTGAAAGGCTAGTTAAAACAAAAAAAAAGCGCGTACAAAATATATGAGACTTTTTTAGCCAATGTAACTAGATTATTTCATTTATTCAAATCAGCTCCTCAAAGTGAAAATGAAGGCGAAAAATGATGAATAAGCCGTGAAGTGCCCAAAAAAAGGAACTTTATAACTATTTATGTACAAAATATTGTTACCTAACATGAACATATCGTTGAATTAAATCTGGATGGTAGGCAAAAAAATGATGAATAAAAAGGATGGGCTATGAATGTAACATAAAAAAGTTTAAAAGCAAATTATATACCTGGAAAATAGCAATAAGAGTAGCATCAACGTAGTCGGGCTCTGGCTGGTATGTATAGAGTATATCCACAGGGTACTGACGCCCTTTAATGTAGAAAGCTTTAGCGCCGCAGAAGTACTCAGAAAAACCCTTTGCATCTAAGCTAGCAGACATTATAATCAACTTCAAAGGAGTAAATTTCGTGTTTGATTTCTGAATTTCATCATCAAACTTGACAAGGCTGTTTATATCTGGTTTTTCAAGCTTGTGTTGTTTTAATCTTGCATTTTGAACTTTTTTCAATAAGCCAAGGAGGACATCGGTATGAACTGTCCTTTCATGAGCTTCATCAACTATGATGATGTTATATCTAGAGAGGATCGGATCCAATAATGCCTCTCTGTATGCAAAAAGCTGGACATCATTCAGCATGACAATAAATGAAAGAATATAGATAAGAAAGTAAAATATTAATTTAATTTAACAAAAAAATTGTTATTTCAAGAGCTTCATACAACAAAATTGTAATTATACATAAAAAGAAAGTGATTAATTTTGCCCACACAGAATTTAAGCATTCTGCAAACAAGATTACCTCAAAAGCAAGCCATCAGTCATATATTTAATCCTTGTTAAACTGGAAGTTACATCTTCAAACCTGATTGCATAACCAACCTTCTGACCTAATTGAACATCACATTCTTCTGCAACACGTTTTGCCACAGTAACAGCAGCAACTCGTCGTGGTTGGGTGATGCCAATAACTTTCCCATTATGACAAAATCCAGCATTGAATAGATATTGTGGCAATTCTGTAGAATTACGTTATAAGTAAGAATACAATGTACATCTTATGAACCAAAGAGAGTAGATAATCAGGAAATGAATAATGCTTTACAAAGAATTTCAAATTTAGATAGCTAAAAAAAACTAGTAGCAGAGAAAATTACATTAGCATCATAAGTTTAGTAATAGAATAAGGTCTCTTAAAGCAATAGTTTGTAAGTTTCAAATTATACAACTCCCCCTTTCATCCCTTAAATTCTCACTATACTATATTATCTTATGCAGAAGCCTCTGATAGATCACAAATGAAAGCAGGAAAAAGAAGCTTAAAAAAGAATTAAAAAAAAGCTGCTTACGTGTAGTCTTTCCACTTCCTGTTTCCCCAACAATTATCACAGTATCATTCTTCCTTATCTCATCAACAAGTTTTCTCTCAACTGAAATTTAAGGGAGAATTAACGCTTAAATCACAAAATAAGAACAAAAATTTCATAAACACCATTGTTTGATTATGTTTGAAATGCACCTGATGCAATAGGAAGAGATCTCCTTTGTCGAAGAATCCAGTGCTTCCTAAAATCAAAGTCCGATAGGTGTAACAAATCTTTGACTTTCTTAAAATTAATAAAGAATAAATCACAGATGTCAGAAAAATTTATTACCTGTCCAAAGACTTGTTGAATAATTTACTTCCATGGTTGCCTGTTTTACTTCCATGCTTCAAATTGCCTGTTTTTTGTTTTTTGACGGGACTTCTGGAAATAGAAGGCATTGCCTCATAAATTGTCACAACCGCCTCCGCTCAGAATATCCTCAGGATACAGGAGTGACTAACAAAAAAATAAATTATCAAAATATACAGGAGTGCCATAAACCTAACCTCAAACATAACTTCAAAATAATTTCAGCTCATAATGCTAAAATATGCAACCATACCAACATCCTTAAGTTTATTACATACATCACTAAAATAGCATAGATTATTTCATTAAAATGATAAACTAATTCACAATTCAACAATAAAATGAAAAACCGCATAATCACATTGATAAGACTCACCAACCAAACAGAATGCCACATGTCAAATGCCTCACTTTGACTTAGAATAAAAAAATCCAAAAACCGAACATACCTATGTAAGTATAAACAAAGAAGATTATGACAGATTAAGAAATAAGTATATTAGGAAAGAAATCTTGGACAAACAAAAGATGAGACTAATCAACATTAGCCTGAATGGGTAAAAATAAAAACATTTAAAAAAATTTAAAAGAAACAAGATATTGGACTTCAAATAAAAGAATTTCCATGGAGGTCAAATATGAATCAATACATCATCAATCGATGTGATAGACCCAGGATAGTAATTATAAACAAAAATCGTAAAATGAAACAACACTGCTAGTCACCGAAAATTTCCATAAATCTAATTTAAAAATAGTCAGTAAGAGAAAGGGAAATTGGAAAGTGATGTAGAAGAGAGAAAGAGAGAAGCACTGAGTGAGTGATGAGAGAGAAAAAAATCGAAGGGAAGAAAGATGGGAAAGAGAAACGAGGGGATCGAGATGAGAAAGATATGAGTGAATATTGAGCAAGAGAAGACAACAAATGGGAAGAGCAAGGGGATTAACGAGAATAGACATGGCTTATTCAATATTGATATTCATATTACTATAAGTCACAGTGAGAGAAAATGGTTCCCTCCAAATTCTTAAGAAATATGAAAGCACCATCATCTCAACATGGTGTTTGCTCTTTTTTTTTTAATAAAAATGTTCAGATATAAAAAAGCATTTAGTCCAAGACTTCTATCTTTTTTTAAATTTTTAGATGGGATGCTTTACTTCTCTTTTTTTCAATATAAAAAAAAACACAAGTTCAAAATAAAGCCAAAGAATATTGGTCACTAAAGAATTTAGAACAATCTTATAAAATTACCTTTAAGAGCGTCATTAAAATTTGAATAAACTATTATTGTAGTATTTTCTACTTTTTTTACTTATATTAACATGTTTAATTCATATGAGAAATTGTTCACGCTTGGATTTAAAACAATTAAGTTCGCAAAATTTTATATAAATTTATAAAAAAAATTAGTGAAGTTATTTCATAATTTATTAAGAAGAGATTTGATAATGAGAAAACAAAAAAATGAACATAAAACTTTGTATGACTTAGGCCAAGACTTGTAGGTGAATAAGATGTATGTCAATATCAACAATAAAGATTTACTGGAGAACCTAATTGAATTGTCACTCCACAATATGATTGATGGGATATGTCTTATCAAAATCAGTAAAATATCAAATTAGCATGGGCGTCATAGGTTTTATTTCTTTAATAAATCCAACAGGCTATTTGTTTCACTGTTATTTAGATTAAGAGTTATTAGATGCATTTATTATCAATCAAATATTATATGTTTAATTCAAAGTTATTGAATTTATAGATATTAGGGTTTCAGCACAATCACATAAGAAACAACAACTTCATAAGCCAAATCATATTTTGTTATAATGTTAACTAAATTATCAGGTTTAATTACATCTTATCTTGAACCGAGGCATATATCTATAATTGGGTCAATCTTCAACTATATCTCCAAACATGCTGGCATAATAATTTCAGTTTTCAAAAGCCAAAAACTTGTAATGATAATCTAAAGCAGCAACAAATAACTTCAACCACAGCTTGAACAAAAAGCTAATTAATATGATGTGTCATTTTATCCTCGTATATGGAAAAATATTGCTATAACTTTTCTTACGGAAGCATTTAAGGTATTTCTCAAAAGGCCCCTCGACTAAAGCAAGTCACAAAGTCTGAAAAATAAAATCTTTTTCACGTGAAATATAACTATGGCTACTGAATAAGCAAATATTTTCCCTGATAAAGATTTATCAGGTATTTCTCACATTCTTAATTTCTCCTAACAAAATCATAACACTTACTTTCCTGAAGAACCTCATGATCACTGTTCTCATCTTCAAAATCAGTTAATAGAATTATGCATATGTTGAAAAATAAAGTCTTCCTCACATGAAATACAAAGATGGCTACTGAATAAGCTAAAATTTTCCCAATAAAGATTTTTTGTATGTTTCTCACATTGTTAATTTCTCTCAACAAAAATAAGAACACTTAAGCTAACTTTCTTGTAAAACGGTAAAACCTCATGATCACTGCTCTCATCTTAAAAATTAGTTAATAGAACTATGCATATGTTGTAACAGCTACCTTGGTATGACTATTCTATGAAAAAACTTCCTAAAGCAAACCTTACGATATAAATTAAAATGTTTACATTTGAATTTTAATTAATATCATATGTTATAATGCATGTTCTATATTCAGAAAAAAAATTGTTTGACAGCAAAGCGAAGCAAGAATTGACCGAAAAAGGAAAGCAAAGATTTATTTACCAATAGATGTCAGGCAAGACAAGAACAAAAGAATGAACACGCAGAAAAAAAGCTAGGAAGAGGCATAATCATGCAGAAGAGTTCCATATATTGCAGATAAATGAGGCATGAGAAGAGATATGCATGAAAAAAGAGGTGAGGCACGCAAAAGAGAGGTACTACGAAACTGGGGGTTGTCTGCAAAAAATTTGAACTCAAGCATTTTCAAAATACAGAATAAAATGGATGCATCGTGTTGTTTTTTTTATTTGCTTCAGTGTAAAGTATAGAGCATGGTGCACCACTGAAATGGAAATGGAAAATTACACCCTCACTATGTTGACATTCAAACATCCAACAGTTGAGCAACTCGAATATTCTGATGTAATCAACCTCATCAAATTAGAAAACAATAAATAATAATAATAATAATAATAATAATAATAGCGCAATTAATTGCCTTGCATTCAGTATGGAGCTTTGCATCGATATGAACTTAGCAACAAAACATATTAGTTGCAAATCATAAAAAAATCAAAAGTGTGTCCTTAACTATTGAATGCATTAGGGGATGTCCGGTAACGAATTTAGAGCAGGATTTAACCTGAACTTGATCTAAATCCTGCAAGATGGTCAGTTGACAAAATAAATCAGCGGATTTCACAAATCCGGATTTTACTGATTTTTCTGCCGTAAATCCCGGATTTACTGAATCTTGTGAATTGGCAGATTTAGTAAATCTGGGACGGGCGATTCGTGTGAAAAGGAAGATATGAAAAATACCTTCTTCCATCTGCCTCCATGGTTTTGGACAGGAGCGGTGCGAAAGGAGAAGAAAGATGGGTTCGGTCACGAAGGCCATGTTTTTGGGCGAAACTGGGTGAGGGGGTAGGGGAGGGTTTCGGAGAGAGAGGAAGGGTCTGTTTGGGGCAGTTGCAGCTTATCCAGATAAGCATCTTATCCTGATAATTTGTTGATAAGCTGGCTAGTTGTTTGGTTTGTGTTTTTCGAAAACAACTGATTATGGATAAATAAACATTTTGCCCCATGTTCTGAATAAGTTGTTTAACTGTTTAGTTTATGCTTTTGAAAAATAGCTTATTTACAGTTTTTTGTAGATAAAAGACTATTCACACATTATAAATTTTAATTTTGAAAAAAATATTTTTAAATTATGTGTATTATAAATTGTAATCAATAATTTATATTTTACACTAATTTTAATGACTCATTGTAGACTAGATGAACCAAAAAAAAGTGTGGAACAGTCATAGGCAATATCTAATTCCTCCACTATAACTCAATAAATAAAAGGATCAAGTTTTAACAAAAAATTTACCATGCAAGAGTTTGAATCAACTTAAAACAAAGAGCTAATAAGTAACACATGTGCCTTATCTAAGAAAGTGTCACTGAAACAGAAAAAGCATCCAATTTTTCTCACTTTTGTAGCAATTAAAGACAAAATTGCAGCAGGAAAGTACTTGTTGGGGCTCAAGTTGTCGGATTGGAGCTCATCCAAAAGTTCTTTCAAATTATAGCATTCCCATTGATGAGAAGAATATTCCATTGTTTCAACAGTTCTTTGTTCTATCCCTTACGTGACCAAAGGACTTCGAAACACAGAATTTTTTTCTTTTTTTTTACTTCAAATCACTGAAAGCTGGTACTACACTCTGCTGTTCTCCCAATAGAAAATAAATGGCTTAAATAAGTATTTCCTGAAAATTTTATGATTCATCTAACCCTGTCTATCAGCCCATTGCTCATTTATTCTCAAAACACAGTAATTCTGAGCAATGATAGGAAGTAGATTACAAGATCACAATTCTACAATTGTCAATAAATCAGAGGCTGCAAAAGACATAAATATGAAAATAATTAGGGAGAGAGCTTTACGATAAGAGAGAGGGAGAGAGATTTTTCTTGTATGGGTGAGTGACTCGCCTATAGAATGGATGAATAAATCCCAATCCAGGGGCCAAATTATCCATTTTATGTGTCATGAAAACCCTCATAATTTGGGGTGAGTCAATCTCTCATTATCTCATTCAAATTCTTTCATCATACTAATAAAAGAGAAGGCACATAATCGTTTCTGCACACACCACCTAAATGCAATAGAAGAACACCATCAGAACTCCAAATTCAAAAGAAACTTGAATCAAAATTGATAGCACAATAAAACAAAAGGAGTTAACTTTCAGTAAAAAAAAAGTCGCTTTAAACTAAAAATCAGCAATAAAAAAGAAAGCAGCTCTAACCATGGTGCCCTTCTCTGCTCGCCACATGCAACACATCGAACCCAGATCGATTCTTCGTCACGCACGCACATCGAACCCAGATCGATTCTTCGTCACGCACAACTTACCAGCATACTTCAACAGCTCAACGACAACGTCCAGATGCCTCTTCTCCCCCGCAACGAACATCACCGTCTCTCCGACCTCGTTGACCTCGTTAGACACCGCTGATCCAAGCTCTGACACCTCTGCATCGAAAGTGGGAAAGGGTAGTGGCCGAGGGTTTTTGAGCGGAGTCGGGAGAAAGAGACGCGAATAGGGAAACGACGCCAGACCGCGGGGCTCTGCGGCTCGCGTTTAATTAAGAGCCCTTTATGCTTATAAGTGCGGCCTAATTTTCAAAAACAATTCTTACTATTTATTTTGCACGTTTATAATTATTATCAGAAAACAGCATCTCTAATTTAGGGGATACGCAGGCCCCAATCAGCATTCGCAACACCCTCGTCGCTAATCTTTGACTGGCCTTCCCCTCTCCGCAAAGATTCCGCTCCTCCCTCCTCCGCACTTCCCAATCCACTGAGAGGTAAAAAATCTCTATCATATTATCTCTTCTTCACTCTTTCATTTATTTTTTTGATCTTCTACTTCCCTTCTCTACCCTAGATCGTGATCCCGAAGTTCTGTTCGCCATCCCGATCGCGATCCCTGCTTTTGTTCACCATCCCGATCGTGACTCTCGCCACTGTTCGCCATCCATTTTTTTGATCTTCTACTCCCCTGCTCTACCCTAGATCATGATCCCGAAGTTCTATTCGACATCCCGATCGCGATCCCTGCTTTTGTTCGCCATCCCGATCGTGACTCTCGCCACTGTTCGCCATCCTGCGACATTGCCTCTGATTGTGATCCATGCTTCTCTGTTCTGTTGTCGCTTCTCGCTTCTTTCGGCATTTATTTATGTGTTACTGTATTTATCTTGTTTTGCAATATTGGGATATGCTTTTGATGAGAAATGTGTTTCATATTTTTTAATAATAGTTGTTCGGTATGATTTCAATTCGAAAATTTATAGTTTGCTGATTTGAGATTTTCATATCATGTGTTTTGCATCACTGGGAACTTTGGGAGTCGTTGATTTGATTTGAAACCTTGTGTTTATGCGATTTGTAAGGTTGTTGAGCTTTATTTCCTTGGTCATCCTTAAGCACTTACGTGCATAACACCTAAATTTAAATACATATGTGCATAATTTTCAAAATTTATTTTTATGTGTTTGTATGTATGTACCAATTTTTGTAACCATTTATATTCATATGCAAAATTCTTATACTTAAGAAATTTTTCATTTTTGTTTACATATCTAACACTTCAATGACACCCTTACAACGGTAGTTAAGAAACTTAACATATTTTCTTATAGTGATAGTATTAACTCATTGTGAAATAGTTTATATCACAAATTCTTTCCCAAATGTTTTTCTAATATTAAAGTCTTCTTGAATGTTTAGAGCTTTATTGGATTTTTTGTTTTTTTATGCTCGAGTTATTGATTTTTTATGTCAAATTGTTGTAACATTATTAGATTTTTATGCTCATATTATTAAATGCATTCTTTTCTTATTTAACATTTCACTAGTAAGTACTGCAATGAATAAGAACAAAGAAGTTGGATCATCTGCCATGTGGGACAGGGAAGCAACAAATATTTTTTGTCATCTCAGTCTTAAGAAGGTGGAGTTAGGAAATAGACCTACGACATTTTTTAACAAAACAGATTGGCAGAATCTTACTATCAAATTCAAGGAACTGACAGGAAGAGACTATGACATGATGAAATTTAAGAACAAGTGGGATCAATTAAAGAAAGATTGGAAAATTTGGAAATAACTTAAAAGGGGAATTACAGGTTTGGGTTGGGATCCAGTAAAACGAACCATAGATGCTCCTGAGGATTGGTGGGCTGAGAAACTAGAGGTAAAGACTTACCTTATATCTTTTTCTTATTTCAATTTTGGATATATTGAACTGATTTAACTAATTCAATTTCAATTTTCTATGTCCTATGTAGTGCAGGTCGTGTCAGCAGCTAAGAAATTCAATATGAATGGAATTGATCCAGCAATGGAAGAGAAGTTGGATGGTATGTTCAGTGTGGTTGTTGCAACGGGAGCTCATGCTTTCACCCCATCTGAACCTAACTTCATTAGCACAGTTGCTATTCTTGGAACTGATAATGTAAGTGGCTCATGAGAAGTGCCCTGTGAAATCCATAGGTCAGTGGAATCCTCATCCGTTCCAAAACGACGTAGGGTGGAGAAAAAGAAGAAAGGAGCCGCATTCATCAGGAGTACAATTGAAAAACTTGCAGAATCTTGCACTGTTAAGCTTGCTGCATCACAAGATATATTTGTTGAGGGGTGCCTTGGAATTCTAAATAAACATGCTGAGGTTAAGGCGGACAAAAAATTATATCTCAATTGTGTTGAGTTACTACAAGTTCCAGTCCGTAGAGATTTTTTTGTGAAGTTAGAAGCATAATACCAAGTCGATTTCTTACGTTCTTTCTTGGAAAACTGATTGTTTTGAAACTGTTTGTACTATTTTGGAAAACTGTATTGTTTTGAAAATTATTTTGATTTCTTACTTTACTTCTTGGAAAACGGATTTGTTTTGAAATTGTTTATACTGTTTTGTTTTGAAACATTCCTTCTTACGTTCCACCCCAGCTTCTTGTTTTGTTTTCTCAAAACTGTTTGTACTGTTGTAACGGGGATTGTTATTTTTTTTTCTAGCACTTTTTTTCTTCTATGCACTCCTTATAGTTAACATTGTAGTTCTCATATCTTTTGTGGTTATATGTTTTATGGATGTCTTTTATATGGTTGAAGGTTATAACTATTCTCTTTGAACAAATTTTTGTAGGATGAATCCAAAACAATTGCAATATGTTAGACATCGACCAAACTTCATGTATGACATCGAGATATGTTAGCGATAAATGGGTTGGTGAGTTACTACCAGGGCATCCGACACGTTTCACAAACATGTTTCGTATGACGAAAGAGATTTTCATCGATCTGCTCTATGAACTACAACACCAACATGGTTTAAATGGCTTGACCAGAATGACATCAAGAGATGTGCTAACAATAACACTCTATATATTATCTCAGAATGAGTCTATTAGAGGAGCCATTGAATGATTTCAGCATTCATCAGAGACTATTAGTATGTATTTCCCCATTGGGGAGGAGCCATTGAACGATTTCAGCATTCATCAGAGACTATTAGTATGTATTTCCCCATTGGTATGAATGCTCTAGTAAGTTTAGCCTCTAAGATAATTAAGCCCGAGGATCCCACATTCCAGTCCATCCCGATACAAATTGTGAATGACCCTCGCTACATGTCATTCTTCAAGGTATATCTTAAACACGTCATTACTATATATAACTATTTACCTCTCAATCATTAAAAGATTAAACATTATTACATTTAGGACTGCATAGAAGCTATTGATGGAACCCACGTTGATGCACGTGTATCTGGCACCGACAAGGTGGCCTACATTGGATGTTGTCGTTCTCCCACACAGAATGTGATGACTGCTTGTGATTTCAACATGTGTTTCACATTTGTGATGGTCGGATGGGAATGCATCACACACGATAGTCGTGTTTTTAAGTTTGCAACAAGACGCCGAACTCATTACTTCTCGTACCATCTCGTACCCTCCTTCTGGTACATAATTATAGCAAATATATTAGACATTTATGAGTCGTTTCTAAATTACATATTTCATACAGATAAATATTATCTTGTTGACGTCGGATGTCGCTTACAAAGGGGTTAATTAAAGCCTTATGCTGACACGAAATACCACATTCCTGACTTCGAGAGGTCAAGCGGGATTGCACGTGGTAGAAAGGAAATGTTCAACAAACAACACTCCTCTTTACGCAGTGTCATTGATAAGTCATTTGGGGAATGGAAGAAAAAGTGGGTGATATTACGTGACATGCCAACCTACCCATTTCCGAAGCAAGTACAAATAGTTGTGGCAACCATGGCTCTACTCTGCACAACTACATCCGACGCCACCACTCTCGCTCTGACGTGGACTTTGCATCTATAGAAGAAGACATGCATCAGAATTTCATGTCGGTTCACAAGAAGCATTTGAATTCCATGTCGGTCATCCCATACCACATGAAGACTCAGAACATGCTTACAGTCGCGAAGGGGAAGGTACAAGAGAAATGACCGCATTGCGAGACCAGATAGTAGACAAAATTGCTCGATCATGACATTCTTTTTCGTGGGTTCTTAAATTTTATTTTCGAGTATGAATATACATATCTTTGGAAGAAAAGAAATTATAAACAAGGAAAACAATTTATATTGGATTTTGGCGAATTCAAAGTCAATTTTTGTTTCCTTTTTTTGTACAGTTGCTGAATGTTCTGTGAATTTAACCTTAAATTAGAACTAATTGAATTTGATGATGGTTCAATTTCTATCTTGCATTTTAGGAAGATTTCTTTTGATTTTTTGCAAAATTTTGAATTCCATAAGGTCTTGTTGAAGGCAGCAGCAATGCATCCAAACAATGGCAGACATCTGCTTGCTATGCTTCTTATATGTCCCGTTGTCCTTGCTTTATGCTGCTCCTACTATTAAAATCACCTCTTATAATTTATGTGCAAGATTTTGCTACAATCTTTTTTTACTATATTTTGTTAACGAGCAGTTATGTGTCTGTACTCTCAATTATTATAACTCACTCTTTGCGATAAATCGATCGATAAAAGTGCTTTTAGTTAAGAATTTTGATGTTAGATATGTAAAAATAAGGTAGAAGATTTGGACGGTCTAAATGTAAAATGTGGAATTTTGATGTTACACATGTAAAAAGATAGGAATTGGGTGGTATGTATGTAAATACCCTTCTATTTTTAAAAGTTTTACATACATAACACACAATTCTTGTATGCTTACATTTCCAATCCTTAAAATTTGATATTTACTTATATACTTCTTATGAATGAAAATATCTAAGTGGTATAGATGTAAAAATTAAATTTTAGGTGTTAGATACGTTAGTACATAAGAATTGGGTTGCTCAAGGAAATGCAATTATATAGAATTCTTATATGGCTGTTATGTGGATTTATAAAATATGTTTTATCAAATGTTGCTGTAATTTGCTTCATGTACGATTATGCAGGTTTGAGAGGCTTGATGGTCATTTATAGTGTATTTATAAATGTGGTATGAAATCTTTGGGTGACATAAATGTAAGTAGTAAAAGTTTAGGTGTTAATAACACATTTCAGTACTTCAGTGGCGCAAGGATTTGAATT